CGTCAAAAAGGAAAAGGTCACAGAGGCACATTTTCCGCTTCCTGCACTGCCGTCTCCTTCCCTTGTCCGTGTCAAGCAGGAAAGGATTGAGGACTTACCTCCCCCACGTCCTTCCAAGTGGCCTGCGCCACTTAGCGACATATCTCCTCCGCGTCCATCTAAACAACTTCTGCCACCCGTGACAGAAGACGACATCGAGATCCTTGACGCTCCAACGCAGCGTCCCATGATGGCGCCAGCGCCAATGCTCCCATCGTCTCGTTTAGCGCGCGCCAAGCCGCCGCCGCCGCAGGTGTGGAGCATAGAGGCCACAATTCCGCCCCCAACCATGGGATTCCAGTCGCCTCCCGTGTCTATCAAAGACGAACCAATGGAGGACACCAAGATGCATGATGCGTCTCCAGAGCGTGTCAAGACGCAGGGAAGGTGGACTATAGACGCGTCAATGCTGCCTCCGGCGATGCGGATGGGCCCTCGCGTTGACCAGTGGGGGCACCAATTACACACCTTTACATTGGATGACCTTCCAAAAACCTTCATGTCCCCGTTGGGACTCTGCAGCACGGACGCCTATACCGACAGCGACGCAATCTCCTTGGAGGACGACGATCTTTGTGACATCAACACATTGACCTCGACCGGCTATCTTATCATCTTTCAATACAGAGAATTGGTGCATTTGGCCGATATTGTGGAGTTGCAAGGCAAGTGCGAAGATCCGTGCGAGGGGTGTGACAGGATGGTTGCCCCTCTAGGGTGGTATAGCTATTTGCTATGGGAAGGGCGTATCACCAAGTCCAGTGATTTTTGCCGCGCTTGCGGGCCATTCTATGAGAGCGAGCCAAGCAGAACGCCGGTAGGACCCGTTGATGAGCTGGAAGTCAAAAAACCGGTGACGTCTTGCCTTCTTGTCCCCGATACAGCACTAACAGCGGACAGGATTGCACTTGTCCACAGGACAAACCTGTCTGCGGATACACTGAAGATGATTGTGCTCTGCACAAAGGTATGTGGTTCCGCTGGCTTTCAGATGGTTCATTCGCTCAGTCGAGTAGAAGCCGTCATTTACAAGGTTTATCGCGGTTCACCCAGGAGGTTGATGCGTGTCTGCGACCGGCAGCGCGGCCCACCTACGCGTCGCCAAATGCTGTGCGCATCGCTTGGGATATGGGGTGAAACTATGAGATCATTCCTCTTCCCAGACGAGGAGGTTGTGGGGCTGCGTCTTCCATCTGATCCGCCCCTGCAGTGCCTGCTGGATCAGCAGACCCGGTGATTTTGGAGCATATATGTCCCGTTTTTCTCGCTTTTGACAATATTGTGACAGGCCCTGAAGTTTTGGTGTTGCATGGTTGCGACCATATTGTGGTCTCTACCACATCTACCACATCAGTTGCACAAATTATGTATCTTACATGTACATGAACCTTTGATTACATTTCTTGGTCCACTTGTTTGTACTGTTTGCATCTGTACGCAACTCCGAAGCGAAAATTCCTAGGCAGTATCGGATGTCGCACTGCCACTTGATCTCCCATCATTTACGCGCATGTGACGCACACCTGATCATGTCACCAATTCTTTCGTTTCCGAAAGCTTTCATGGCAGAAGGAGACGCGGGCCCACCGCCTGGTCCTCGACCTCCAGGTCCTCCTTCTCTTCCCGTCAAGGCTGCCCATCCTCGCAACTCTGGAAAGGCTTCCGATCCCCGCAGCCCTGTCGCAGCTCCAACTCCCGCACTACGACTAAGTGTCCCACCCGTGTCGACGCTGCTCGAAGAACTGGGACCACCGCCTGGTCCTCGACCTCCAGGTCCTCCCGCTCTCCCTTTGAAGCCAGGCCATCGCAGCGACTCAGTAAGGGTGTCCGATCCCCGCCGCCGCGTTGCAAGATCACCGCCCACATCGCGCGAATCGCCGCCGCCACCGCGTGGTCTTCGAACTCCGGAGCGTGGAGGTAACCCCTTCCGCTTCGCGACACCCTTCCATGCCAACATGCCTCCGGTCCCCTCCTTGACGACTGGTCGATCTCCGAGCAAACTGATGTCCGTTCGAGCGCTCCAATCCGCCCACAGCACCGCGCGTGGTCAAAACGTCGGGGGGTCACAGCGTGCACAGCTTGCGCGTTCTGCGCCATTCCCTCCCAAACTCAACGTGGGGAATCTCATCAAAATGGATCCGGACTTTGTTGCTCCTACAAAATCGCCATCTCCTCCCTCACCTTTAGGATCACTCCACCTACCAGCCCCGCCCCCGCCGCTTTCCGTTGACCCGCAAAACCTTCCCCAGGCTCCGCCGAAGACGGGTGACGCGCATATATCCGAGTGGGATGTTCTTCCAATAAATGCCTTGCGTGGCTCCTGGGTCACGGCAGAGCAGGACAGGATGGGTCCATGGGCGGTGTTCGAGCCCGACAAGCATCAGATGCTGTTCCCTGAAACCCTGCTTTGTTTTGGCGCCATAGAAGGTTTCAACCTGGAGCATGATCAGGACCTGCTCGTGTTTTTCGAGCTTCGGGAGGTGGAGAGGGCATGTGAGCATCTGTTGCGGCTCTACGGGGATGTCCAATGTGCCGAATGCCAACACTTGGTTGGGGGACTCGGATGGGCTGGTTATAAGGTGAATCAGGTTCACGGTTGCGTTAAGAGCACCAAGCTCTGTAAGGGATGCGCGCCATTCGTTGGAAGGGATGACAGAATCATGCCGGTGAGGCTAATTTCGTATTCACCACCTGAGTGACACCTCACACTTAGTCTTGTACCTGCCCCGATGATGTTCGTGTCCTTGCCTCTGCAAGTAGTGACTGTCCACGGCATGACGGTACCGTCTTTCTGACAGTGTCATAGTACCGACTTTGTACAAGATGCCTGCCCACATACCTTGCAAGGTAGTACCACATTTTCGACGTCACGTGGATTGGGACTGGGACAAGACACTGGCCCAATCAATTCGCGGGCATCTGCATGTCCGTGCGTCGATGTTGAACCCACAGTGCCCTGTTGACTTGTGGCGTCGAGGGTCCGACCCTCCGATCCCGCCTGGACAAATCTCTCGTAGGTAATCTTGGCCATCTGTTCGGAAATGACAATGATTCAAACGTCGCTTGCAGGAACAGTGCAGGAGAGGCGTTTTCATGGGATTTTGTAAGGAATATTTAGTTTGTTTTTCAATGATGTTCCAGCGTTTTCTACCATCCATATCAACACTACCGCGATTGCTATATAGATCATTGTGATTGCTGAGTCGAACCAGTCCTGGTTTACATTGAGTCTGAATACCAAGATTGAAATCCTAGTGGTTGGTTGCGACCGCTTGGCAGCGAGAGGGAGGTTGCGACCCCCCAACGTTCTTAATTTGGTCGCGACCATCCTACATTGAATTGGCTATGACGGGCCTCCTGCAAGGATGGCAAGCCAATCAGGGTGATTGAAGCATGGTGAAAGGCTGTCATATAGAAGATGAAAGGGATACAAACAGCCTGCAAGGGCAATGGGAGCATTTTCCAAGGCATGCACGGAGGATGGTTCCGCCCAGCCTCAACCAACGGAGTGGTTAGAACCACCCATCCGCCAGAATGATTTTTCCTGGCCTGCACCTGGCTGTGTGGCCAAACAAAGGTCCCTGCAGGGAAAGAAGTGGAAAAACACCTGCTGCGCCCGTGTACACGCTGAATGGCCCATACGAGCAGTGTAGAATAGTCGTGGGAGTATTTCAAATGTTTTTCTACAGCTGGCCCTGAACTGAGTCCAGCATCCTGGGCTTGGAACAGGCTAGATTGACCTCCAGGGTACTTGAGTGAAAGTTCAAAAGCGAAAACAAGCCACCTGCAAGGGGAATGGGAGCATTTGCCAATGCACGCGCAAAGGGTGGTTCCGCCCAGTTTGAAATGTAAGTGGTCGGAACCGCCCATTTGCCCAATGTGCGCTTTCAGGCCTGCCCTGAATTGAGTGCAGCCTCCTCGGCTTGGCATGGTCAATATTTCGTACCAATGTACCCGTCGAGAGGCTGGATGGCCTGTACAAGCAGCCTAGACAAGCAATGGGAGCATTTTCGAAAATGTCTCTTCCCGGCCTACAGCTGGCCCTGGGACCGGGCCCAGCATTCCTGCCTTGCGATGGGCTAAACAGTTCCTATCTACAAGCAAGTAGCCCGATACAAACAGCTGGCAAGGGTAGCTGGAGGATTCGCAAATGGGTGAGGAAAGGGTGGTTCCGCCCAGTTTCAAATGTCAGTGGTCGGAACCACCCACTTTCCCAATATGTGATTTCGGGGCCTACAGCCTCCCTGCGGCCGGGTACAGGGTCCCGGAGTATATATACGGTAGGTACGCATCCATGGATCCCTGAGACAAGCTGGATTGCGCAAAGAAGCAGCCTAGAGCAGTAATGGGAATATTTCGAAAATTTTCTTTCCTGGCCTATGGCCGGCCCTGGGACGAGGCGCAGCATCCTTGGCTTGGCATGGGCTATATTCCGTACCCATGTACCGGTCAATCAGCTCTATGGCCTGTACAAGCAGCCTGGAGTGGAAATGGGAGCATTTTCGAATTTTTTTTTTCCCGGCCTACGGCCGGCCCTGGGACTGGGCCCAGCATTCCGGCCGTGCAATAGGCCTCATAGTGCCTGTCTACAGGCTAGTAGCCCGATACAAACAGCTGGCAAGGGTAGCTGGAGGATTTGCAAATGGTTGAGGAAAGGTGTAACGAATAATTATACCTCATCTGATCTCGATCATATGATTAGATAGCATCACTATCCGTACCTTAGTCATCCGCCATCAATAGTATATAAGTAGATGTTTTGTAGTAGATAAGTTTTTTCCTTAGTCAATTTAGTGCTATAACAGTTAGCGCTGGGATTGCTCTTGTGTCGGAACTCGACTCTACTCGCTTCCGTCACATCTTTTTAACTCCACAAGCACTCGGTCTACGCGACGTTCTGGTTCTCAGCGGTCTGATCAACCGCTCATTCCGACACTGCGAAGACCTCCCTCATCATCGACATGTCCGTTAACAACAACCCCCCTTACTCCGGTCCTACGCTACGCCCCCGCAATGCGAGAGGCACTGTCGCCGGATCCGAGAATCGACCTCCGAGCCCGGCACTCACCCGAGCTCACCGTCCGGTTTCCCCCGACCTGTTGTACAGCAGGGTGGTGGAGCCGGTTATACCCAATCAGCCCGCCGTTGTCCCGAACAACGGTGGAGAAACTGTTAGTACTCCCCGGGAGGAGGAAAGCGCAGCCCGTTTTACAACGGAGATGACCCCAGCCCTGACCTCGTCAGTGGATTTTTCGCCTGAGTACCAAGCTGGTCTCGAAGGGTGGACCCCTGTAACCGCCAAGACGGCGCGCACCCATCGGACTCAGGCAGGGGCTAGATCGGTCAGAAGACCGGCAAGCATGGGTGATATTCACGTGGATTACGTACACAACACAGTAGATCCTAGGCACCTTACCGTGAACGTCCCATTTTCGTCGCCATCAGGAGATGCGACCTCGCCTGAGGTGCTTGCTGAGGAAGGAATGTCAGCAAATGAGTTGAGAGCCCTAGCAAGACGCTACAAACAGCTCGCCAAGATGGCCGAAGACCGGACCACTCCACAGGAGGAAAGGAGCGCTCCCCCCACCGCGACAGAGAAAGGCCAAGAAAGGGGCATTCCGATGTTTCGGCCGCTGCCAGAATCGGGTTCTGAGGCCCGAGAACCGGCCTATCCAGAGCAGACAGCGAAGTCGGGCCCATCGACCGATAAGGGCAAGGGCCCTGACCCACGAAACTGGGCCGCTGCAGGACTGTCTGAAAGTGATTTCAGTGAGGACGAAATCGAGCTGCAGCGGGAAGCGCTGGAGAACTACCGGGTTGCTCGGGAAAGGAGGGACCGCCGGGCAGGCCAAGACGCCGAGTACACGCCCCCCATGGTGTCCCCTAAGAAGGAATCCCAATTGTCCGATGACGATGCGGAGAGTAACGGAGAGGGCCAAGTACCTGACGCCCGGTTCGAGCGGGAATTGCAACGCCTGAGCGACAGAATCTCTGAGCTGGAGCTGGTCCCTAGCCCGGGTCCGCCAGCCAGGGCGACGCGAGCGCCTTCTGGCGCCAAGCCCTGGCCTAGGGAGCCTGACGGTGTGAAAGAGACGTTGTTCTCCAGCGTCCTGCGAGGGATGAGCAGGACCCCCCGACCGACAGGGCGAAACGGCGGCCACCCGGACGACTCCGACGACTCCAGCAGCTCGGAGAGTGATAGCGACGTCAGCAGGGCCGGGGCCGACTCCGACGAAGACTCAGACGCGTCGACGGCTGGGTCCACGGACCCAGACAACCGCTGGAGGTCTCCCAAGCGCCGGACAAAGAGGGTAACGTCCACCAAGATGGTCGTGAAACCAAACCCCCCCTGCCGTTACGACGGGTCAGAAGACGCCGAGAAGTACGCCCAGTTTGTTGACGAGGCAGAGAGATACTGCAGGTTGGGGAAGATCCCGAAGGGAGATCAGGTCGCCATGATCGGGTATTATCTTGACGGCGAAGCGCGGGATTACTACAACCGCCGCGTGAGAGGCAAGGAGGGGAAGTGGGACCTCAAGAAGCTACTCACGTCACTCCTTAAATACTGCTTCTTGCCCGATTTCCGTCTGAGACAGAGGAAGAAATTAAATCGGTGCTTCCAGAACGGGAAGAGCGTGAATAAGCACGTACTTGAATTCGAGAGCCTGCTGCTCCTCATCGGGGCGCCCAAAGACCAAGAGCGCGTTGCGGTGTTGTGGCAGAGCTTCAACGAGGAGATACAGAAGGAGCTGTATCGGCTCGAGCTTGATCCCGAGACGTCTAACTGGAAGAAAGTGGTGCGGACCGCGGAGAGAGTCGAGCGATTCCTGAGTATCGAATCAAATCAAAAAAGACGGGGGCAGACGCAACCGACCACTCAAGACTCGCAGACGGCCCGCCAGAAACAACGCTTTCCGCCGAAGAGGTTCCGGGCAGCGATGCGAGCGGCAGCGGCGGAGGTGGTAACGCCAAAGAAGACTAACGATTCGCGACCACGCAGCGGTCGCGGTGACCCAGAACGACCAGCGGAAAGACCTTGGGAGCGGGCTCTTTCCCCTCAGAAGAAGAAAGACTTGATGTCTAAAGGACTGTGCCTGAACTGTGAGGAGCAGGGACATATGGCCAGAAATTGCCCGAAACTCACCTCCATGAAGTCCGACACAAAGGGTAGACCACCCGGACTGAGGTCTCACGCTGTGGGTCTGGCCAGCTCGTCCCTCCAGGATACGACGGAGGTACTGGAATCGTTCAGCATTGGCGTTGCCAGTTCGGAAGCAGAGGAGAAGACCTTGGAAGGCGAAGGGCGTGAGCTGGAAACGCTGCCGGACGAGGACGACCTGTCGGATCTGAGCGAGCGATTGGCGGGAATGACCCTAGACCCTTGTCTGGTGGGCGACCTCGCTGCGCAGTTTGCCGCCCTCGCGCTGGAGTGCTGTCAACCCTTCCCTGGTGACGACAAGCCCCCGGGCCCACCCGTAACAGGTTCCATCTGTACGCCCTGGAAGACGGCCGGCACGCCATCGCGGACGCCGAAACCCCACTGGATTTCGAAGACGTGGAACAATGCACTGTGCCCAGTGAGTACCTTCTGGATCCCAAGTTTAGGATCGGCGCTTACTGGGCGCAGAAATGTCTGGCGGAGCTCGGTCAGGACGACGAGATGTTGCTGAAGAGCGAGCCGTTTGCGGTCGAGCTGGGCGATGCGCCGTTGGCAATGGCGTTGATTAAACTCGAGGAGATGGAGCAGGGGAGCAAAGTGGCTGGCCTGGAATCATCCTTCTCGGTCAGCGATTGCGTAAATGGTAAATATAAAATACGTCACCTGGCCCACGGGGCTTGCGCGGAGCTAAGGCGAGAACACTTGCTGGATCCGACCTTCGATCTCAGTGCGTGGCGCAGGAACTGGCTGCAGGAAGCGCGGCAACAGCAGCAGGGTACCGCGATGGGACCCTTGCAGTCTCGACCTAAGGACGATCGCTTGGGTGATCTCCTGGCGGAGGGCGCAGTCGACCACCTGCGCTTTGGAGCGCCATATCCGGGGGACGACCGGGCTCGGGGAGAAGCCGCCGACGCGGAAGCCGTGAGATTCAGCGCGCACACGGTAGGCGAGAACTGCGTAATACATGATCGGTTGCACAAGGCAACGGTGTACGTGAGCACGCACCATCTTCTCACTCCCACGTTCGAGCTTGCAGGCTGGTATGCGGCCATGCTTCGAGAGCGCTTCGACCTGGGTGAGGGTAAGCGTACCGAACGATACCGCGCCAGACTGGGGGACCTCCTAGCCGCTGGGACGCTAAAGTATTTCCGCAGGATGAGGGCATTGGACCCCCGTGCGTCGGACTTCTGTCGGGTATGGCGCCCGACCCCACGAGCCAGTCACTATCGGGTCACAAGGAGTAAGCGGAGGAACGGGGGAATTAAGCTCGTACCGTCCTCATGGCTGCTGAACCCAAAAATGAATCTGCTGGACTGCTTGATGAAGAGGCCGCGGCGGAGGGGCCGTCGGGCTGACTGCGAGTTAGCAGAAGAAGAGCTCGAAGAAGTAGGGTTCTTCACTGGCCTTTTCGGCGAGCAGTCAGAGGGTTACAGCGAAGAGTTGCGATGCTGCGGCGCCCAGGTGCCTCCTGATCGGATGCATGCTATAGGCAGGGCATCGTCCACCCCTCGGACGCCAGCTAGGATGGTCGCCCGACCACTGGTCATTGTGGTGAATGTGAACGGCGAACCCGTCCGTGCGCTGGTGGACTCTGGCTCGCTGGGAGATCTGATCTCCACGACGGCGGCGGACCAACTGAAACTACGCAGGGAACAACTTGATGAGCCCATAACACTTCAGTTGGCTGTTCAGGGGTTGCGCTCGAAAATTAACCATTCTGCGACTGTAAACTTCAGTTATCAAGACATTGACTGTCCACGCACCTTCTTCATTGCGAATATCAGCGGATACGACATGATTCTGGGAACGGCGTGGCTGTACCAGCACAAAGTCAGCATTGGTCTGAACCCATCTCGCGTATGCGTGGGAAGTGGAGAATGCTTACCACTGAGAGGCGTGGCCACGGCGCAGCTGCATTCAAGCGCCACTGAGCTTGATGGAGAGATTCTCACGGCGGCACGCCAGGAGCTGATGGACTATGCCAGGGAAGTGTGTAAGACTGCGGCGGAAACGGGCTTACCTCCTTTACGCGAAATAAACCACACGATTCCACTGATTGACGAGAAGCTGATCTTGCCATGGCGGCCGTCCCGGTGCCCAGAAGCGCTAAGACCCCAGTGGGATGAGAAACGAAGTGTTTACCTACGAAGCGGCCGGTGGAAGGTGACAAATGCTGGCAACACTGTGCCAATGCTTCTGATCCCGAAGGCGAAGTCAAATCCGCCCAGACTAAGGGTGGTAGTCGACCTTCGCGCCAGGAATAAGAACACGCTAAAAATGTCATCGCCCCTCCCAGACATGGAGGGGATACTGCGCCGGGTTGCCAGGGCAAAGTTCCGTTCGCTGATCGACGGACAAGACGCATATGAGCAGATACGTATCGTGCCCGAACACGTAAACCGCACAACGGTGACAACACCGGATGGCAACATGGTGAGCCTGGTGCTTCAGCAGGGGGACTGCAACGCACCGGCAACATATCAGAGTTTGATGAATTTTTTGTTCTCAGACTACATCGGGCGGTTCATGGACGTGTATCTCGACGACATAATAATCTATTCCGACAGTCTGGAAGATCACGGTAGACATGTGAAATTGATTATAGATGTTCTGAAACGCGAGAAGCTGTACCTAGGCAAGAAGAAACTCCAGTTCCTAAAGCCCGAACTAAAGGTTTTGGGCCGGGTGGTGAACGATGGGGGGATCAGGATGGATCCCGACAAGGTCGATTCCGTGCTGAACTGGAAGACGCCCACTAACAGGGACCTTTTGCGTGGGTTTCTGGGCTCGGTGGGATACCTGGCGGACGACCTTGACCGCGTGCGAGTCCCTATGGGGGTGTTACACGGACTCACGGGCGACACTGTACCTTTCCGCTGGGGATACACTCACCAGCGGGCCTTCGAGGACATCAAGCGGACTGTGACCAGTCTGCGCAACCACCACCGGACGCCGCTGAGTTACAAAGCGAACGCTGAACCGGTGTTCCTTGTGACGGACGGCTGTTCCTCCGGAATCGCAGGCGTCGTGTGTCAGGGAAAGGACTGGCGGACTGGCCAGGTCGCCGCGTTTTTCTCGGCGAAGCTGAATTCTGCACAGCAGAATTACCCCGTCCACGAAATCGAAATGTTGGCCGGGGTGGAGGCGATGCTGAGACATCGGGACATCCTGCAGGGCTGTAGATTCCAATGGATAACGGACCATAAGGGGCTGACGCACCTGCTTAACCAGCGGGACCTGTCCGGCAGGCAAGCGCGCTGGGTGGAGAAGATATCGCAGTTCGACTTCGAGGTGGTCTACGTCCCGGGGTCAGACAATGTTCTGGCGGACGCCCTATCGCGTATATACTCGAATGAGCTGCCAGGTACGGTGCGTGCCAGAAGCGAGTACACGTACCACGATTTGTCAGACAACGACGCCCTGGGTACTCATTCGATATCAATGCCGCTTTTTGCAGGCGCAGAGGCGACCGCCCTGTCAGCGGACCGCTCAATGAGGAGTGGATACGACGAGGGGCCAAGAGCGAAACCAACGCGCCGGCGCAAAGAAGCAGAACCCACCGACGGAGTCTTGAGGTCGGCAGGGCGGCCAAGAGGCGAGCATTTGGAGGACAGGCCAGCGAAACCTAAAGCTAGGGAGCAGTTGCCCTCTCGTGGCGAGGACAAGGAGGGCGGGTCTGGACAGAAGCAAGAAAACCACGTCATGGAAACAGAGCAGGAAACCCGGCCTAGCCCCGCTAAGGACCGCGTCACGTACACGGAGAGTGAGCTCAAGTCCGCGGACCCAGAGACACCCACGCCAAAGTCCTTTCAGTCGTGGAACAGAGCGTAGCTGGGCTGGACTTACAAGGCACAATTAGAGACCAGTACGAGGACGACAAGTTCTTCAGGAACATCGTTGAGAGGCCGAATGAATTTAAGAACTTTACTGTGAAAGATGGGTTAGTATACTTACGAAACAAGGATCACGTCGCCCTGTGCATCCCTCGGATCGAACTCGATGGCAGATCAGTGCAGGAAATCGTGATATCAGAAGCCCATTCCATTCTGGCCCACTTGGGCCCAAGGAAAACGCTGGACTATTTGAAGGAATATGTCTGGTGGAAAGACATGGTGGACGACGTGCAAGCGTTTTGCGAAACCTGCATCACATGTAAGCGCAGCAAGCCTAGCAATCACAAGCCGTACGGATTGCTAAACCCACTGTCGACACCAGGGCGGCCATGGGAGGCCATCGGCGTCGATTTTGTTGGCCCACTACCAGAGTCAAAGAACCGGGATGGAGTGTTTAACTCCATAACGGTCGTGATATGTCTACTCACAGGAATGGTTCATTTGGTGCCTAGCAGAGTGAATTACACCGCCCGTCAAGTGGCAGAATTGATGTTTGAGCAAGTCTACAAATTACATGGGCTTCCAGACTCCATCATTAGTGATCGAGACGTCCTATTCACGAGCACGTTCTGGAAAAGATTGAATGAGCTCATCGGCACTCAGATGAAAATGTCGAGCGCGTACCACCCTGAGACCGACGGCGCGACGGAGCGCGCAAACCGTACCGTAACGCAGATGCTGAGACAGTGCGTGGGAGGCAAGCAACGAGACTGGGTATCGCGGCTCCCAGCTGTGGAATTCGCGATGAATATGGCGAGGTCAGAAACCACGGGTTACTCACCCTTCTTCCTACACACGGGGACAACGCCAAGGTCGTTGCTATGGGCCGGCAATAGAAGCCGCGAGTTCCCTGGCATATCCGCATTCCTAGATCAGCGACGGTTGGCCATAATGGCCGCCCACGATGCCATAATTGCCGCACGGGTAAAGCAGACCCGCGCTGCCAACCGCAAACGAATCCCAGCGCCGTTCGAGACCGGGGACCTGGTGTATGTGAGCAGTAAGAACATCCGGTTCGAAAAGGGGTTGGCTCGTAAGCTATTGCCCAAGTACATAGGGCCGTACCTGATCACCCGGGATTTTGGTAACTCGTCCTTCGAGATTGAGCTGCCCTCGAATTTGAAAAGGCGAGGGATCCACTCGGTGTTCCACGCTTCGTTGCTTCGGATCCATATCCCAAGTGACGATCGGCGGTTTCCCGGAAGGCTAGAAAGCCAGCTGAGTTCGAGCGAAGACGATGACGAAGCAGAGTGGGCCGTGGAAAGGGTCCTCAGCCATTCCGGTGAAATGCTGAGGGCGTGCTTACAAGTGAATCTACTATGAAAGTAAACCCAAATATAAAACACGTTCACACTCCTCGTAATCAGCTTCTCAGTGTGTGAAAGATGCGAGGGCTTCGGGGTGGACAGAGCACCAGTATCACAACTCTCAATAGACGCAGATCCAATAGTCGCGGAGACGAAGTCGACGACAAGAATTTATATATAGCAAACAACGGTGTCTCAACCAATATCTTCTATACGAACACAACCAACACTAATCCAATCCACAAACAACAATATAACAAGTCAGAGCTTAATACGAAGTATTAAGATCCCTTGTAGCGACAGCGTCCAGATGGCGACGCAAAGCTCAAATATCAAGTCGACGCACTGCCAACCGATACAACCAATATACTGAGTCGACGCACTGCCAACTGACAAAACCAAAAGTACTGAGTCGACGCACTGCCAACTAGTAAACCAAAATGCCGCGTCGACGCACTGCCAACTAACAGCCAATATCCAATGTCCAAAACCCGAGCACAACTTGTCGACGCACTGCCAAGCAAGAAGTGTGGAACCAAAGTTCTCAAGTCGACGCACTGCCAACTGACCAAAACAACCCGAGCACAACTAGTCGACGCACTGCCAAGCTAGAGGTGTGGAACGATCTCAACAAAGCCCGAAGGCGACGACACTAAATGCCGCGACTAAACCAGATGCGGCGAATCCGACTTTCTGATGTCTCAACTCAAACTCAAATCACAGTAGCTACAAGTGCTCAGGGAGCAACTCGTCGCGACCGGGCAGGGGTGGCAGAACTTCTTAGGGTGGAATCACGCGGCACGCAAATTGTACAAAACAATCTGATATGAGAGTGATTCACAGTCCGGGGGAAAGCTCCCCAATACAAAGAAACGACGTGCTACTTATACTGTCTACGACGCTGCTTAGTAAAGTCCTGTACAACTGCATAGTAGCTACGCTATCTAAGATCGGTTGCCTTTTAGGGTAATTGAAAAGTTGAACGATCGGACAGGTCCTGAGTGATCAGGACCCCGCCCCATTGTCCATATGATACTTTTGATGTGGGTCAACCCACCGCGTCATACTTTTGGAATACGACGTGTTGGATTGGCCAACGGGTATGTCTTGGCAAGTGAGACCAACGTGGGCGCCCCAAGAAGCCGTATGGCCCTAGGCACACCAGTCGTCCCCCACATGGTTCGGTTCACGGATCTAGCCGTGTCGGTTTCTAGTGTGTTTGGGTATGGACGCGACTCGCCGTGACACTTGGAAGTGTCACCGCGACGCGTCCACAATGTCCCGTGATCGAATGGATCCTGACATGTGACAAGTCGTCGTCGTGGCATGATCTGAGGAAACGTCCAACTCGAAACCGGGAGTTGCCGCGACAAGATGGTTTAAGTCTCGTAACGCCAAGTCCTGTCCAGTAGTAGTTCTATTATTGAGAACGTCGCGCATTGCTCAGCCCTTCAGCCCAAGTTCCCATCTGCAGAGAATGACCCTTTTCGAGAAGTCGACGCAACGACAGATCCCTTTTTGGGGAATGGTCGCGGTCCAAGCGTTCGTCACTAATGGCCCTGAGCCTGGTGTAGACCCATAAGACCAGTTCCACAGTAGTGGTCTGACTGCCTTGCTATCGTCGACACTATCCACAGTCGTCGACTGGGCAGTAGACCCTTAAGTCCTACTGAGCGCAACACTGTCAACCGCGACACGATACACCGAATGGTTCAAGAGTAAACTCTGTAAAAAGCGCAAAAAAATACGCCCTTACAGAGCTGGTGCAGAGCGCGTCTGGTAGCCAGCCTATCACCGGGAGCCGGCGAGCAGCCTTGTTTGAGGTGCTCTGGAAGGCTGGGGACGTGACGTGGATGCCCTATCAGCAGCTGAGCAGGCTAAACGTCCTGCAGGATTATTTTGAGTCATTGGGAGTGAGGGATATCGGGGAACTGACCAGAGGGACACGGGCCGACCATGAGACGTCCGAGCTCCGTGTTTCAGCTGTCTCCTTTATGGCGGCCCCTGTCCTGAGCGAAGAAAAGGCGAGGGGGATGCAAGGAGGATCCCCAACCCCCGCTCTTACCTCACAGCGACCACTCCCCAAACCGCTCACTATGCCGGCCGAACCTCCTCGCTTCTTCGCAGGCGTCGTCCACCCGGACGACGTGGCTCCCGGCATCCTATCCGCTGAACATATCGGCTTCAATGACGAACACGCCGGAACGCTGCGTTTCATGGACGCCGAGACGCTAGTCGTGTCCGTTACCCTGGAATCGGGGACAGTCCTGGAGCGGGTGCTCCACGCGCGCCAATTCCAGCAAGTCCTTCTGTGGAACCAGGCAGTCCACAACCCAGACGACGACCCGCTGGCCTTCGGATTCGAGCCGGCTGGCGCCCGAGAAGTCGCCCTGGCCGTAAATGGGAGAGATCCCCAGGGGTGGGCGTTCGCTACCTGGAGCAACGAGGGAGAGCTGTTGTATGGCGAGGGCCACATCCCCAGCCTGCGTGACGGGTTGGTCACTGACGATCGCCTGGCCCCCGCTCCCGACCCGAGTATGGTTACCATCAGCCGCGCAGAATACGAGGAAGGTCGCGAGGCGATCATAGGCCGCGACAGGGCCCAGAGAAAGGCGCGAGACCGTCGCATGGCCGAACAGAAGGCCGCTCGCGATGCTTCTGAGCCGTCTGGTTACCTCAACTCGGCGGCAGCGATCGCCAAGCGTCGCAAGAGAGTTGAGGATGCCCGCGCTCAGAGGGAAGCGGCGTCGGCTCCTCCTCCTGCTATTGCTCCGGCCGAAGAGACGGCTGACCAGGAGATGGTGGGACTGATGTAGCTCGCCGAGTCGTCGAGCTGGAGGGCGGGTGTAACGAATAATTATACCTCATCTGATCTCGATCATATGATTAGATAGCATCACTATCCGTACCTTAGTCATCCGCCATCAATAGTATATAAGTAGATGTTTTGTAGTAGATAAGTTTTTTCCTTAGTCAATTTAGTGCTATAACAGTTAGCGCTGGGATTGCTCTTGTGTCGGAACTCGACTCTACTCGCTTCCGTCACAAAAGGGTGGTTCCGCCCACATTCCGCTCCCCTGGGTCGAAACCACCCACCAGAGCGAGCGCGGGGTGGTCACAACCACATGCGGTCGGGACCACCACTGGTGCCACCACGGGTCAAATAATGGTCCTGACCACCAGGAGCTGAATGGGGATGGGTGCGACCAACTGGCGAAAACTGGTCGAGACCTCCCTTTTTCAGTGGTCCAGATGGCCTGGCTACCCGATTTGGGAAGGGTGGTTGTAGCCAAAAAGCGATTGGTCTGAGACCACGAAGTGGTCTTGGACCCTCTTAAGGCTAAAAAACGACCACTTTTGGTACCCTATTAGGGTCACAGACCATACTGACTGGACTGTACCTGTAGACGACGGAGATTAGTAAGTCTACAGGTATGTTAAGTAAGTATTCAGGAGGATGTAGCTACGGAACTACGCACCCTCAGTCGAGCTAGATAGTAGCGGTAAGACTGAGGATGCGCAACGAAGAAAAACAAGATATATGCAGAATCCCGTGATCTTAGATCAGAGACGTGATATGCTGTACGCCATAGAATCTCAACACTCCCCCTGGCGTGCAGCACGCTTCCAGTCCAATCCCAGCACGTGACAGATACGTTCATGATCAGTGCGGCCGAGTGATTTTGTAAGAATATCAGCGACGTTGTCTTTGCCGGGCACAGATGTAACCGAGATTTCCCCTTCGCTCACGCGATCGCGAATGTAGTGATATCGAATATCGATATGCTTGGCAAGTCCATGGCCTTTTGTCGTTTCCGTGAGACTGATTGAGCCGAGGTTGTCGCCGCGGAGGGGAATTGGCAATTCCTGAGGGAGGAATCTTTGTGACAACCAGTTCTTCATCCAGATGGCTTGTTGTGATGCACGTGCTAGCGAAATGTACTCTGCTTCTGTTGATGACAGCGCAACAACTGCCTGTCGCTTAGACGACCATGCAACGGGCGCTCCAGCCATAAAGAAAATGTATCCAGCAGTGGACCGTCTGGTGTCGACGCAGCCAGCCCAATCTGAGTCGACAAAACCCAACGGTTTGATTCCGTTTCCTGGTCCGGTACCTCCTGGGATGTATCTGATTCTATAATCGAGTGTCCCCTTGATGTATCTGAGGACGCCAATCAGGAGGCTCCAATGTTCGGGCCCGGGGTTTGACTGAACATGACCAAGGACTGAACATGCATATGCCAGATCAGGTCGGGTTCCACTACTCCCCCATACAATGGATCCGAGAATCTGGTGGAATGGTTTTCCCCGCATGTACGTGACATCTTCGTGAGGTAAGGGGGAAGGCGACGCCCGGATCTGGTATCCCAGAGGTAGTGGAGTCGACAACGGCGGCAGGCTCGAATATCCAAAGTAGTCGAGAACCTTTTCGAAGTATTGTTGCTGAGATACTGATATTGATCCATCTGGCAACTTCTCGATGGTGAGTCCGAGCAAGATTCAAATCGACTTCTTTCAAGTCCCATTTCTCCGAGAACTCCTTCACTACCCTCTGACTCTCCATGTCACTTGAAGAAGCGCCAAGTACATCATCTGTGTGGGTCGTCGTCAAGGTATAGTCTTCTCCATGCTGTCATGTTCTGACACATGGATCAGCGGCATTTTCGGAGTATCCCAGTGTCTTGTAACCCGAAGCAAGAAGCTTATACCATATGTGGCCCGCTTGGACTAGACCGTAGAGGGGTCGGAGAAGAAGACAAACTTTGCTTTCTTCCCCCTTCTTCTCGAAGCCTCTAGGTTGCTTCATGTAAACAGGTTGGTCCATTTCGCCGTTGAGATATGCTCCGGAAAAATCCCACTGCCGCACTTTTAGATTCTTGACTGTGGCAACCGCGAATACCATTCGAACGGACTCCATGCGGGCTACCATGGCCCATTTTGTTCCGAAGTCGCGTCCTTCCACCATCTGATCGCCCCGTGCCACGTATCTTGCCTGGCGTTTCACCTCTTTCACTTCACCGTCCACTTTTATGTCGAACACCCACATTCCGTCAAACGCCACCTCTCCAGGTGGTAGCGGCACAAGTTCCCAAACTTTTCGGTCGCTGAATTGCTTCATTTCAGTACACATCGGTGTGAGCCATTTTGGATCGTTCATTGCTTCTGCGCCATTCTTTGGTAAGTTTCCTTTTGTTGCACTTGCCAGCGCTAATGGATTTGTGAGCGTTTCTTGCTCGAAGAAATCAGCGTTCAGATCGACAAAATTCACAGAAGGGCGCTGGTTATCCCTTGCCCAATCTTCTCTTGCGTTTCTTGCCTCTTCTTCCATATGGTCCGAAATCTTGCTTTCTAACATCTTTCGACTCGGTTTCGGAATGCGGCTTGTTCTCCGTGGAAGGGGTGGAACTGGTCTTGGGTTCGTTGTTTCAATTTGTGGACTTTCATTTGTAGTAATCCCGTCAGCTGAGGCTTCTTCATTTCTAGGCGTTTGCCCCGGAGACTCGGTAGATTCGTGCGTGATTTCTCGAAGATTTTCCCAATCTTGTGCGTCTGACTGTGCTTCATCTTCATTAACAAGGACGCTGCTATGGTCGGATGTGGGCTTGGATCCTTCTGTCCGATGAGGGACGCCTTCCTCGAAGATCACGTTTCGCACTTCGTATACCTTTCCCCGTTTTGGATCAAATACTCTGTAGCCCCGCCTTCCCATGTATCCAACCATCCATCCTTCCCACCCTTGCCTTCCTAGCTTCACTTCAACATTATCCAAATCGAGGACCCAACACACGCTTCCCCACACTCGTAAGTGCGAAATATTTGGGCGTATTTGTTGTCCTGCATTGTCCTTCTTATTGAACCATCGCATCCAGGGAACAGAGTCGGGATGTTGAGAAGATGGGATAAAGCTCTGTACGTAGCAGTGGCTTGCAGCTGCCTCTGCCCAAAAGTGTGCATCCAAACCTGATTCGATTAGCTGAGTCCGAGCACCAGCAATGACTGTTCGGTTTCCTCGTTCTGCATGCCCGTGCGCTGCAGATGATGCTTTTGGAACGCGCTCGATGGTTATCCCTTGGCTGCGGCAGAAGTTTGTGAAAACGTCATTGTCGAACTCGCTGCCCAGGTCCACTCGAACATTCTTGAGTTTTCTTTCTGTTTGCACCTCTGGATGCATTGAGTGAGAGAAGGAGATCAATGCATCATCTTGTGAGGGAGAGAGCCAAAGAGCAGGGGGTGGCTGTGAGCTCACTCTCTCCTTCCACCCACCTGCCGGCGATCTCATCCTCGACAAATTCCCATTTCTGCGCTCATTCTACACAGTCTTTTATGCTTCTATATGACTGACTATCACCCAGAACTCGACACTATCTGCAGAAATCTCTGTACACCACGGATTCCATCTCAAGCTCGAATTTGGATGCTATTTGAGAGTGTCTCTGGGGTACACCCCAATTCCATTCACGAAGCTGAGTAGTTCCCTCCCTTCTCACAGTTGGAGCTCGACATATACACTGCTCGTTGACTCGATCCTGGCATTAGAACGACCCCATCTACATCCCCCAGCCTTCAGAACCCTCCCCTTTCCGCCCACTTCGAGCTGCCGACCCCCCCAGATCTTCCAGACAGGAATCCCAGTCCATTCCTTCGATTTCTGGCCGCCCATTCGCTACGAAATTCCCTGCCCCATACCCTGCAAGCTGCGAATGCCTCTTCGCTTCAGATGCACGCTTATTCGGGTTTCCCTCCCTCTCTCATTGGGCGCTCAAATCCTGCGATTTAATCGCACTTGGTGCGATATTATCGCATATTTTCGTTCTTTTGGGTTCCTGGCGTTGTCTAACAACGCTGCAGGGACATTCTATGGTCTCAGCTCATTCTGGACCGTTGGTCTTGACCCAGCCGCTGGCCTGGGCCGCATAGCGTCAATAATTACTTCGAATTTAGTGAGTTGTAACTGTTGTGCATATTTTGCATGATCTCTGCTGCGCATCTCCAGTGTCTTTGCTTCTGTGCATATCATGCATGTTCCTGCCCTGCACTCTGTGCATTTTTAGACGGCGCATAGCCTGCGCTGCGCATATCCTGCGTTTTTACGGCGTGCATATCGTGCATATTTCGACTGCATATCGTGCATTTTCGACGGTGCATAGCCTGCACATTTTCCAGCATGCATATTGTGCATTTTTCGAGCGTGCATAGCCTGCACTTGCGCATAGCCTGCGCTGCGCATATCCTGCGTTTTTACGGCGTGCATATCGTGCATATTTCGACTGCATATCGTGCTTTTTCGATGGTGCATAGCCTGCACATTTTCCAGCATGCATATCGTGCATTGTTCGACTGTGCATAGCCTGCACTGCGCCTATCGTGCGCTGCACATATTCTGCGCCCTCCCTGTCGTGCATATCGTGCATTTCGCAACCGTGCATAGGCTGCACCTGCGCATATCCTGCACTTGCGCATATTCTGCGCCTTTCCTGTGGTGCATATCATGGATCTTTCGACTGTGCATAGCCTGCACTTGCGCATATCGTGCGCTGCGCATATTCTGCGTATATTTTTGGGTGTGCATATCGTGCATTTTCCACTGTGCATAGCCTGCACTGCGCATATCGTGCACTGTGCATATTCTGCGTATTTTCTGGCGTGCATATCCTGCATTTTGAGTGTGCATAGGCTGCACCTGCGCATATTCTGCGCCCTCCCTGTCGTGCATATCGTGCATTTTGCGACCGTGCATAGGCTGCACCTGCGCATATCCTTCACTTGCGCATATTGTGCGCCTTTCCTTGGTGCCTATCGTGCATTTTGAGTGTGCATAGGCTGCACCTGCGCATATTCTGCGCCCTCCCTGTCGTGCATATCATGCATCTTTCGACTATGCATAGCCTGCACTTGCGCATATTCTGCGTATTTTCTACTGGGCATACCATGCATGTTTGATGGTGCATATCCTGCACCTGCGCCTGTCATGCACTGCGCATATTCTGCGTATTGTGGCGTGCATATTATGCATTTTTTACACTGCGCATATTCTGCGCCTTTCCTGTGGTGCATATCTTGCATTTTTCGACTGTGCATAGCCTGCGCTTGCGCATATTGTGCACTGTGCATATCCTGTGCATTTCCTGCCATGCCTATCGTGCATTTTCGACTGCATATTGTGCATTTTTCGACCGTGCATAGCCTGCACTTGCGCATATCGTGCGGTGCGTATATTCTGCGTATTTTTGGGCGTGCATATTGTGCATGTTTTGACCGTGCATAGCCTGCACTTGCGCATATCGTGCATTGTGCATATTCTGTGCCCTTCTTGTGGTTCATATCGTGCATTTTGAGTGTTCATAGCCTGCACTTGTGCATATTGTGCGCTGCGCATATTCTGCGCATTTTATGGCATGCATATCGTGCATTATTCACTGTGCATAGCCTGCACTTGTGCATATCGTGCACTGTGCATATCCTGCGTATTTCTGCGTGCATATTGTGCATTTTGGACGGTGTATAGCCTACACCTGCGCATATCCTGCATATTTCTTGTGGTGCATATCGTGCTTTCTCAATAGCCTGCACTTGCGCATATTGTGCACTGTTTTTTTCTCCTGTGCATATCGTGCTTTTTGACAGTGCATAGCCTGCACCAGCGCATATCCTGTGTATTTTCTACTATGCATATTGTGCTTTTTGTCAGTGCCTAGCCTGCGCCTGCGCCTATGCGTCGCCTGCACCCACGCATATCATGCACTGCGCACATCCTGCACATTTTCTGGCGTGCATAGCCTGCACCCATGCACATTGTGCACCGTGCATAGCCTACACATTCTCCAGCATGCATGTAGTGCATATTTCGACTGCATATTGTCCATATTTCGACGGTGCATTGCCTGCACATGCTCATATCATGCACTGGGCATAGCCTCCACATTTCCGGCTTGCATATTGTGCTTATTTCGACTTTGATTGGCCTAGAATTGTGCATATCCTGCATTTTCTGCAGTGTATGTCATGCATTTTTGACAATACATAGCCTGCATCTGTGCATGTTGTGCGCTGTGCATAGCCTGCACATTTTTTGGCGTGCATATCATGCATATTTTACTGACACACAAGTTGTGCTGCTTTCTTTGGGTGAGCCGGCGTTGTTCTGGCTGGGCAGCACATTTTGGGGTCATCCACACCCCGCCGGCTTTGCGCCCTGGGCTCAGCTCCCACACCCAATCACACTACTGTTGTGCAACACAGTATTTTATTTGATGGAATGTCTGGCCAGCAAAGGCTCAACTGAAGAAGATGGATGCATTGAGTGAGAGAAGGAGATCAATGCATCATCTTGTGAGGGAGAGAGCCGAAGAGCAGGGGGTGGCTGTGAGCTCACTCTCTCCTTCCACCCACCTGCCGGCGATCTCATCCTCGACAAATTCCCATTTCTGCGCTCACCCACCCACCCACAGCCTGTTTGATTCTCGATTTTGGTACAGCAGTAGAGCAGAGTCTGCAGGGTCCTCCGCACCCCGCCGGCTTTGCGCCCTGGGCTCAGCTCCCACACCCAATCACACTACTGTTGTGCAACACTGTATTTTATTTGATGGAATGTCTGGCCAGCAAAGGCTCAACTAAAGAAGATGCCTCTCTGAGCCACGCTGAAAATGCTTCCAGAACAGTTTCCTTCCGTTTGTTTGTCAAGAACACGGGGAATTTCATGCTCGTGCCGCCGTCCAAGATCAGCATCAAATATACTGCGTTGCCCCAGCTTGGTGTCCGTGCGCGTCCCCATAGGTCCAGGTGTACTCTCTCGAGGGGCTCTCTTTCGTGTACAACCTCGTCATCGAAGGGCATCTTGTCCTGCTTCCCAAGGATGCAATCTTTACACATTCCATGTACGTCACCCTCGACAACGTCCAGTCCCATGACACACCCTTTTGTAGCCATTCGTCGGATTGCTTTGATTTCCGCATGTCCTAACCTTCGATGCCAATTTTCGATTGTCGTTGGCTGTTTCCGATTTCGACCTGCTATTGCAACGACTGGTCCATCCACCTCATCCACGACGTCCACGCTGTACAGTCGACGGCCATTTGCTAACTGCGCCGAGAATCTTCCGTCCATCACAGTGACACCGTCCGGATTCACAACGGTCAGGACTCCTCCCCCCCATGACCCACGACAACCTCGTGAGTCCAGTGTCGTGATCAATACAAGATTCATCCCAAATCCAGGTGTGTGAAGCGCTGCGAACCGCACCCGGCGTAGCTCCCCTGAAGAAATTCGGACAACCAGTTCGACTTCTCCACGGCCTGAGATGGCGAAGTTTCCACCGTGTTTTACAGCGGTGCTGCCCGTCATGGATGATTTTTCGTACGTCACAAATCTGGATTGATTGACGAAGCAGTGCTCTGATGCACCCGAGTCTAGGAAAGTAGGAACATTTTCGCGATTCGGGGATACGGTTTCCATGGTACAGGCTGCCATTACGGACATGTGCTTTAGACTACTACTCAGAATGGAAGGAGATGATCTTCCACGTCCATTTCTGAGCAGCTCGTCAAGATCATTGCACATTCCGTTGCAGCTTGGTGACATACCGTCGCTGCTGAAGTGGGTCGCTAGCGCATATGTCATGATAGGATTGCTGAATGCTGCCGTGGTGTTCGTTGGGATAGTTTGAACGTGATTGGTCGGGGACGTAAAGGTGGCATGAGCATTGGAATAATTCGATGATCCTGTTTGGCGCGCTTCTTTCGATTGGCGATGTGCAGCAACAAGTGTGGGGCTAGGTTCTTTTCCACGCAGAGCTTTCCACCACGTTGGAGCCTGCCCTTCTTTGCTGCCGCCACGCGCCCAACACACGCGTTGATGCACCCCAGATGCCACCGCCATCATTACATAATAGACCCCGCGGGTACCTACTGGGTACCCATAGCCGTAGCTCTATGGGTACCCAGTAGGTACCCCCCCCGCGGCAGGGGCGCAGGGGGCAGGGTCATGTGCAGGGGTCAGGGGGGGATAATACATATCATGTGATTTATCCTGTAGATCAGGCAGCTGGGTGGGAGAAAAAATAGAATCATGTGAGGCATCAAATGGGCAGGGGATGGCGGGATAAAAAAATCACGTGATCAAACACATGAGATTTCAAAAATGTTGGCGGGGTTGGCGGGGGTGTTGGCGGGGTCACTACCGCCCCCTCCCGCACACCAGGGCGGACAGTGGGCGCATTATCACGTGACTTTTTGGAGACTTTTTTTTTGCACTGTTTAGCATGGTTTCTGTTGTCCTCCTAATACATTGTATGTTGTAGCCGGTTGGTAGGCAGATGATCACGTGACTTTTCACAAATAAAACAAAAAAGCAGCTCCAAATCATCCCTCTGGGATTTCAATAGCTGGGTTCAATTTTAACCATACATTTGAGCTTGAAAACCCAAAATTGTGAATCCAATCCTGGTGGTGGCTTGGGCGGGGTTGATTGCGGGGGTGCATAAACCTCTGCCCACCCCCGCCATCACCCCTGCCATCACCCCCGCCACAACCCCTGCCATCACCCCCACTGCAACCCCCGCCATCACCCCTGCCATCACCCCCACTGCAACCCCCGCCGTCACCCCTGCTGTCACCCCCGCCGTCACCCCCGCCGCAGTGGTGCACTTGCCCCTGCCATCTCCAAATATGTAATATTATGTAAAGTGACAGCTCGGAACACATTAGCTCATTAGCCAATCAGAACCTGTATAAAGGTCGTACCCCAGTGTTTTCTGCTCTTCTGACACTTTCACTACATTTATGCAGCCAAAAATCATCGGAATAATGTCTCCCTATGTTACTCTTGTCAAATATAATGCTAATTCATGTCCTTTGTCTGTTCGAAATTTGAAACATCGAAACAGTCCATGGTTGGGTAAGGTTCCTATGTAGAGACTACTTCAACATGATTCACTTTGGGTATTGCACAAAATATATTTTCTACAAGGGCCCAACTTTGCACAACTGAAAGATACACTCTTTGACATTGCTTGAATCAAGTCTTGGGAGTTCTGGACTCTGGAACAATTCAGAAACATGGAATGAATTCAAAACATAGTATATTTCTGAATGTGAGATATAGGCCAATTTGATGAGATATAAGCCACTGGTTATGTTGAATGGGATATCTGGCAATGCTTCGGCTCTCTACCTTCCACTGTACAACTTTTGTTCTTAACAAAATGTGTGGTAAGCAACCCAAGCTTATAAAATCAATTGTTGCCTATATAAAACAAAGGTAAAGCTGTTTCATTGAAAATTGGGTAGAGGTTACCTTGAAGATGCTTGGGTGTCAGTACTGAAAATCTAGAAAGTCATTCTGAGGTTCATCCGCATTTGGCAAGTGCACCACTGCAGCGGGGGTGATGGCGGGGGTGACGGCGGGGGTGACGGCGGGGGTTGCAGTGGGGGTGATGGCAGGGGTTGTGGCGGGGGTGATGGCAGGGGTGATGGCGGGGGTGGGCAGAGGTTTATGCACCCCCGCAATCAACCCCGCCCAAGCCACCACCAGGATTGGATTCACAATTTTGGGTTTTCAAGCTCAAATGTATGGTTAAAATTGAACCCAGCTATTGAAATCCCAGAGGGATGATTTGGAGCTGCTTTTTTGTTTTATTTGTGAAAAGTCACGTGATCATCTGCCTACCAACCGGCTACAACATACAATGTATTAGGAGGACAACAGAAACCATGCTAAACAGTGCAAAAAAAAAGTCTCCAAAAAGTCACGTGATAATGCGCCCACTGTCCGCCCTGGTGTGCGGGAGGGGGCGGTAGTGACCCCGCCAACACCCCCGCCAACCCCGCCAACATTTTTGAAATCTCATGTGTTTGATCACGTGATTTTTTTATCCCGCCATCCCCTGCCCATTTGATGCCTCACATGATTCTATTTTTTCTCCCACCCAGCTGCCTGATCTACAGGATAAATCACATGATATGTATTATCCCCCCCCTGACCCCTGCACATGACCCTGCCCCCTGCGCCCCTGCCGCGGGGGGGGGTACCTACTGGGTACCCATAGAGCTACGGCTATGGGTACCCAGTAGGTACCCGCGGGGTCTATTATGTAATGATGGCGGTGGCATCTGGGGTGCGTTGATGATGTGCGCCGCCACATGCAGAACATGGAATCCGAGTCGCACCTCCAGTGTTCGTTGTAGCATTGACAGTAAGAGCTTTTGTCAACCCCTGCGCAACTTCCTCGCTGATCTTCTTCATCCATACCATTTCCCACCAGTCTCTGAGATGTGCGATTAGGGATTGGACCTGATTAAAGGTCTGGAGCACGATCAGAGAGGCACCAAATTCCTCCTTCGGGAGCGAATTGAGGATGATGGTACACATTTGTTGATCGGTGACATGTCTGCCAATTCCGTGTACATCGGCACGAAGCTTGATCAGCTCATTGATATGTCCGGGAAGATATCTTGTGTCCTTTAGTTGAAGATCACGTAGGCGCTCCATGCGTATTCCAATAAGAAGGTCGGTACTTCGGTTGAATTTCCCGATGAGACTGGTCCACATTTGATGTGCAGTGTCCGATCCGCTGATATCGTGCGATCGTGGATCTTTTACATTTTGGTATAGCATGGTAGCCACCCATCCATCTCGAAGCGCCCACTCGTCGGGTGATGGAAATGAGGAGTTTAGAAGAGTGTATCCAAGGGATGTTGGAACAAAGCTGGCAGGTACAGCGATAGCGCCAGTGAGATACCCTTCAAGCCCGCGTCCTCTGGCCATGTTAAACATTCCGTCTTTGAAATTTGACCAGTTTGAACCATCGGTCGATAGTTTTTGATCGTCGGGTAGAATCGGGGTGGCTGGCAGGTTCGTTGCCATTTCTATGGCGCTATTCAATGTGGTTCTTTATATTGAGTCTGCGTTTGTTCTTCGACGTAGCACGAATGATTATTGGACTGCTCGGTAAACTCCGTGTAACGTCTGACTGCGAATCTGTAGACGACTGTAGACGACAGAGATTAGTAAGTCCTCAGTCGAGCTAGATAGTAGCGGTAAGACTCTTTTTATTTACCTGTAGACGACGGAGATTAGTAAGTCTACAGGTATGTTAAGTAAGTATTCAGGAGGATGTAGCTACGGAACTGCGCACCCTCAGTCGAGCTAGATAGTAGCGGTAAGACTGAGGATGCGCAACGAAGAAAAACAAGATATATGCAGAATCCCGTGATCTTAGATCAGACACGTGATATGCTGTACGCCATAGAATCTCAACACTTCGACGTTTCCTTTCAATGGAGTGAGATGTATTTTCAGCATCTTCCGCACTGAAGGTAACTCACCTGTGTCATTTCTCAGTCGCTAGAACGCGCCCCTTCGAGCAATATCTCGTTGGGTCCTTCGAGATTCCGACCCCTATCCTCGCCAACGCGTCGTTCCGCGACATCCATCTGACTTCGGCCCTCATCCGCGACGCCTTAGTCCTCTCTATCATCCGGGGGTGCATCTACCACCTCACCGTTTCAGTCCCACCGCCGAAGGTCAAGCGCACGAAGCCTCTCGGCCGCAGACAAATCCCCATGGCCCAGCGCTTCACCTTCCTGAGTCGCAAGCGTCCGGGATACGAGACCCCGCGTCCGGGAGACATTGAACGGATCGTTCTGGCTGCTGAAGTCAAGTATTGTCGTGACTGCGGGGAGTGGATCCCTTTCGAGGTCGTGCGCGCGCAATGTGCGGGGCATAGCTATGCGGAAGGCGTGTATTCGGATTGAAAGACTGGAAGAGACAAATTCGCGCGGGCTCTGTCATATCTGCCACCGTCCCTTGTACTTTTTTTGGACATCCTGTATCGGGTGAGATTGTACTTTTTGAGAACAAGAGCATCAGGACAGATTCGGCAACTCTAAGTTAGACCATCTATTCCTTTTACCGCTGAAAGGATTTTTTTTCGATATCATCTGTAAGTAAGGTCCGCACTCCTCAGCAGATTGCAGACAGATTACATGCGGTCGGGACTCGTTCAACCATAGTTCCATCGGTACGAGATGCTTATTGTTACCACGAAGAAAATCTTCGTGGCAGGTGAAGTATAAGTCATGATGAGAATTCATTCAGTGTCCAGAAATTTCGTATGAATCAAACCCAGGATACTCAACATGGGAAAACGGATATTTGTCCATGGTGAAGTGTGATCCGGTCTGATCCGGGCTTAGGATCATGATGGTCACAAAGAAATGCTGTTCCTGTTTGCATTCATACTTACTTATACCCTCTTATACCCGAACCTGTAACGAGCCGGGATCAGCGCGAAACACGCCGCAATATTAATCCATCTTTCAAGATCAGAAAGATCCGTGATCGGGTCTCTCAAGACAAGAATCAACCGCAGGGCGACCAGCAAGAGACACTTGCCGTGTCCTTGAATCAAAAAGAATATCTAGTTAGGCGATCGGTGAGGAAATGGATAAGTCCTCCTTCCAATACGCTCCTCCTTGAGTTTGTATCTTTTCTGACCTCTCTTGCACAACAATTGTACCAACCAGATCGCACGTCGGTCAAACCGACGCGAGCACCTGGGCGAAAACCGGTGTACGATATGATCATTGACACGAATACTTATAATATTTGCGGAAGCAAGACATCGATGTATGAAAACTATGTGTGTCAGTCCTGGTCGGAATCACGCGCCGGTCAAGACTGTAGCCGACTTGGTAGTCTCATGTGCCCTGTTGACTAAAAATACCTTGCCTTGCAGCGCGCTAACCGGTGTAGGGCTGTTGATCTCATCAATATCTGTCACTGCCTTCTTGAAGGCCCCGTCCTTTCTCAGAACGGCTGCCTCGGCCGTGGAGAGTTGATCGCCGACTTGATACAGCAACCGGCTCAACGAATCGGTGGAACTGAGAGTGCCTGGACAGAAATGCTTCAGTTGGAGAGGAGACACAATTTAGGGCGGGCCCGTACAATTCATCATCTGCGCTTTGATCTGGCCAATGGCTTGGATGTTGACTTCGATCGTGATCATGTCCTGCTTCTCATTCACCTAATGCATCAATGAAGATACTGCAGATGAGCAGAAATGACACTGATTGTGCATACCGGACGTTCACCCGCCAAGCGCGCTTTAAAGTCATCCAGACGCATTTGGTCCTTGGCTCTAGCTTCTCCGAAAGCAGACACGAACTTCGTCGTGTCTTCAATCTGGAAATTGATGCGTCACATGAGCTAGGATTCCAAATCATCCAACAGGAAAGAAATGACCTTTTCTAGCCTGTGGGCAAGTTGAATCTCCGCCGCAGCCGCAGTGATTGCGTCTTGCGCTTCTTTGACGGCATCAGCGGAGTAATCGAACACGGTCTCGGGTGAAAAGGTCGTCTTCGCGGCCGCTTTCAGCGCAGTCGTCGATCTCTGGATTACCCTAGGAAAGGGGCAGGAATTAGGGCGCGTTCTATCGCAGGATCGAGACTACGAACTGATCGAACGCGTCTGGGCCACCGATCGCCAAACGCAGGCTTTCCCACTGTTGAGCGAGACCGTGGCACGCAGTAACAATGGCCCAGGTCTCCTGGTAGTACGGCCGCTGAACCCCCGCAAATAGCTTGAACAACTGCCTGTAACTGTCGGGCAGAGCCAGGATCTCTACGCCGGTCTGCAGCGAGGATTAGGAGACATCATGAACCCTACATAGGGATAAAATCCAACCAGATAAGTCCAGAAATGATCATACTTTCCCTGTATCTGGCCAATGTACGTTGGCGTGGTGATATTGCATGAAGTGAGGATTAGCCCGGTGAGTCTGCGACACGTCAATTGGATCGCGGAAGAAAGTATGTTATTCCCACGCACTCAGAAAGTAAGGTCCAGAGCTGCTTAGAGAAGCGGATGTTGGCCGTCTTCAAGCCATCGAAATTATTTTTTCCTGCTTTGAAAATCATTTGTACGATCAGTATCGTCTTGATTGAATATTCGAAAATCTCCTGAGGCTTGGGTGAGCCGAATGAGATGCGCGTTCTGCGCACGACGCACATCAGGGACGCCATACGGAACACGAGGTAGAGATTTTGATAGGCTCGTGAGGTTCTCCACGGTCTTGTCAATGAAAGGTTTGGTAGCTCCGGATTTGACGGGGAACAGCTCGTTGTTCGTTTCTGCCAAGATAGCTGCGAGTAAAACGCAGTCGTCGTGTCTTTGAATCGACCCAATTTCATCGATTTGTTCACGTATCTGACCCGGAATGTTCACGAAGCACGCGAAGCGGTTGATTATGGAAAGCTCACCTTGGCGGAGACGAAATCCTTCGGGAATCCTCGAAGCAAATCGCCCAGCAGCTTCCGCCTTGTTTCCCATTCGGCCAGATGCAAAGAAAGCGCTGCGACCGAGATAGTCCCAGAAGTCAAAGTCGCCTGTGATTCGGCGTGCGAGATCCTTTCAAACGAGAGGCAGAAGCTGGGATGCTCGATCAGTTTGGGGAGTGAAATACTGCAAAACACGCTTACTTTTCGAGTATAGGGATGAGCGTGGTGTACTTGACGAAATTGTCCCAAGTCACGGGACTAAACTCGTCTTTGTCCACACTCTTGATCAAGGCTTTGATATCGTCGAGCGCATAACGGGCAATTGAGATAGCGGTGTATGCAGAGTGGATGTTGCGAGGGAACGTGAGCGCATCCTGGGCGACGACACGAAGGAGTTTTTCCAGTGCCTTCGTGACACCATACGTTTCCGTATGTGCCGAGCTAGTGAGCTCCTTGAGCACCGTAGGAGTCCCCGAGTGGTTTAAATCTGCAGCACTGGACTGGGAGCTCATGGGGAACTCGGTTGGATTGTTGAGTAGTCCCACCAGCAAGCGATCTTATACGCCTGATATCAGCAATCTTCGATTTGCACACGGGCACGGTAAGCTGTCCAGCCCGGGTGGCAAATCCATCTGATAAACGCCCAAAGGTTGGCCGTGTGTTTGGCGAACGAGAGACACAACAGACGAGTTGCAGGCGATAGGCACTCCACTGCAGGTGTCCGTTCGGAACAAGAGCGGGGTTGCCTTGATACATCGTGTGTTTGGCGTGTGACAGGCATTTATCCGGCTGCAAGGTCCGTGCAGAGATCGTACTTCTCTCCGCCGGCCTATCAAGCGCCCACCTATTTCCTGGACAATCATCCGTCTGTCACCCGGGAAAGCGGTCGCACCGCAGTTTCTGCATCCACGCACGGAGAGAAGTGTTTTTTTGAGCGTTCAAGATCTTTGAGAGCGGAGTAGCGCCCTTGCATTTGGGCGAGGGAATAGTTGATCATCTGGTCTCTTCGAACTTGCTTTCCAAATCAACACAACTGACCTCAAGCTAAGCGGCACGCGTAGTAAGCGAGGTCATGGATGAGTTCTCCCTTTGAACTGGCAATAAAGATGGCGAACGCTTCAAGCAACGACAAGCAGGTCAAAGATCCGGCTCCTTCAGATCGTCGCCTCGCGTCAGTGCCTCGTTTCTGATGATGAACACGTGAATTTTCGACTGAACTCTGTTTGATGCAAGCGCCCAAGCAAACGATGGCGTATCGATCATCACCGGCCATACATCCTGCGGTGAACTCAAAGCCTCAAGGATAGATGGGTACAGAGAGGCTGAGGCTAGAATATATGTTCCGAGGATGGTATCCTATGCCACTGGCGTCAGACCTGGAGATCCGTCTGACAGCGATCGCCATTACATGAGCATATAATGTACTTGACATGAGACTGACTCGGTCATTACTCCAATGTTCTGGCCATCAGCAAGCTTATGGGGCAGCGCATGATGACCTAGATTGACGATTCTCTCTTCATTCAATTTTCCGTAATTCAACAATCAGTGTTACAATCATCCGTGCACATTTATCAGTCTGTTTTGGAGAAATGAAGCACTCATAACTCAGCAGATATCAGGAAATCTATTGTATGGTGTATGTCTTAATTTTCTTGCTAAGTAGTAAAAGCACATCACTTCATGCACATGTGCAGAGAAGATTGACAATCCATTTGCGCCTGGATGAGCCACTTGTGAGGTATTCAACTGATGAGAGGGTGATATCTGTGGTAATCCTTGAACGATAGGGATAGCACTATATGCCACACATAGTTCTGTACGACTCGACTACAGTAATATTACTATTATATAGACGCAATGTGAATACCAGTAACTAGCTAATAACATTCTACTTGTCGCTGGTCCGCCATCGGTATGCTACCAAATTCAAGTCCTTCACTCGACCACCAATGAAGTGACCAATAACAGTAGAGCCGCCGGCATACTAACTGCAGTGATGATTATGCTCAAAGTTGTTCGTTCCTTCAGCCACAAATACGTCACCATTTCGGTGAGAAAGAACATTGCAGCAAGGAAGGAGTACACAACGACTGAGACAATCAGATGGAGAAGTAACAAATAAAAGATAAGTCGCACACTGAGCTAGGAGTATTGTGAAGGATCGTGTTGCACCAGATAGGCGAAGAAGGCGATGACTGGATTCACAGTTCGGAAACAAGCCCTCGCGTGAGAGTCCTCGTGACGCAGCGGCAAACTCTATATCTCCGATCCGGTCCAAAAGGGCGAAGGAAGATAGGGCAGAGAGACTTGTGAAGAGAGCTGCGAGATAAGAACTCGTAGTGAGCAGCGTGTGCTTGGGATCGCGGCCGTTCTGCAGGCCAGCATCGAACTCAATCATGGCCAGCAAGATGAGGGACGCTAAAATCATAAATCCACCCTGGAACTACAATCAATCATGGGCCTGTCACCTCTCGTGGGATTCGGCAGCTTACAAGGTTGACGGAGCTTTCAATAGTCGACCTCCAGGCGCGGATCTGGGATTTAACGAGGCTGGGAGACTCATCTTTCTCCCAGATCTTCGTGAGTGACCAACACGCAAGAGGATCAAAACACACTCACAATTTAAAGATAGAGCTGACTCTATGATATGATTACCAGAAATAAGAGGAACCATCTGGGTACTGGAAAATATTCCAAGCTCGTTCTCTCTGTTATAGTTCAAAGAATCCTAATATAAGCCACTGCGCAGCTTCCGCGAGGAGGTTGACAGGACGAATGTTCCTGATCTCATTCCGAAGCAAGCTGTGTTGTTTCTTTTTCTGTCATCGACTTGCAGCCCAAGCGAGGCCCTTGCAACACCCTGGCCATGTAGATGGTGCCAAAGGGCCCTGCATCGCACCCCAGAGCAGAGAGAACACGGGAAAACGAAACTCTCCGTGTAAGTAATCACTGGGTAATTATGTCTCAGCTCAAGCAAGGCCATCCGCCATCATACAATACAGGCATGAAATGCCTTGAAATAACTGAAGGCTCTTGAACGCTCGCCTTCTGACGACCGTGCCTCACCCATTCGCTGCAGGCGGTGCAGCCGGTTCGTTCGTGTCGGTAGCTACGTTATTATCATTCGATATCCTCCGCAAATGAAGGCCACAGACATATGTATATCGGAGCCTGTCACGGAAGAAAACAGGCATTGGAGCCACGAACACCGAGTGCCTAATCACCAGCCTGACAGATGCAGAGCACCAGCCATGCAGTGCTCTGCGCTCTGAGCTACCCACCCCGCCGCAGCTGAGCCCAATCGCGTCGCTCGGTGACTGTGTCGGAACGAGGAGATCGGTCTCGCACTATCTGCCCATAGCTGCATTTCAAGATCGATATCCACCCTTGCCCACTGAGTATATGCGTCCGTCCCAGGTGCCTTAGCTGAAGGGTCGACGATGCAGCACGATACATTCAAGCTTGCATGTCAGTCGCCCAAGGATGAAGCAGTCGACCATGACTCCAGAAACCACTTTCCTTGTATGGCTCACACCGTGGCAGCCAGACGTATGAATGCCAGTCTCAAAGCTTGATCCAGTCAGGCAAGGGTGCTGCTGTGCAGTGCCTCTCTTGCCACAGAGTACCAGATTGTTGTCCTGGTCCCAGCTGCCGCACGTTGTCGGCAGAACGCTCACGCATGTGTCCATCTCGATGACAAGGTCTCCAGTGGGAGACGAGAGGAATGAAGGAGAGACACAGCGAGCTACCGACCGATTGACATCGCGGATTCGCGTACCAGCCACTGGGCCACAATCCTCACCAGCCCCTGTTACAGTGATCAGACTCAGGTTCCCATCTCATTGGGAGAGAGAAGCGGGAGATGGGAGTATAGGGAGTAACGGAAAGTAAGAGTAAGTGACAGACGTGAAAACGAAACCCGCTATCATCTCTCGGGTTCCGGAATCGTGGTGTGAGGTCCAGAGCACCAGGTGAATGCACCGAAGGATCGGTATTGAGAGAACTGAACGGTGCATTCGACCGTAAGTATCGTAGGGAGAGCACGCAAAGACGCGGGGCTGATGAGAAGTATGTATACAGGCAGCTGTCCATTCAGCCGTTTCATAGAAGGGGCCAGCACAGAATTGCAGTCCCTCTAGAGACCCTCCATCGTGCGCTCCAGTTCTTCGAGGTCAGCCTTGACCTTGCGGTGCTTCTCTTCAGATGACTAGTGGAACGCGTCGTCAGCACACACGCATACAGGGTAGAAACTGGAGCCGACGCACCTCGTACTTGGCCTCCCACTCATCCCGCTTCGTCTCCGCAGCCTGAACAGCCCGCTCTGCCTGCTCCGCCTGCACATCCAGGTGTCGCACCCTGTCGTCACGCAGTCAGCATACATACGCAAGCACACCTTCTGTGTGAGGCAGAACGAAGATGACGAGGTGAGGCTCACTTCTCTGACGCCTCCTTCAAGTCACCCTCCATCTTCTCCATCTTCTCCTCCGCAATCGCGAGGTTGTGCGACAGACTCTTGATCTCGTTTTCCTTCTCTAGTAGAGTCTGCTTCAGCGCCTTTGACTCTGCTTCCGCTGCTTCAGTGCGCGCAATCTGCGTGTCAAGATCGTTGCGCAGGTTCGTCAGGCGTTCGCGGATTCGGTCGGTCATGGCTGAGGATGCGAGGTGTGGTGAGGGCTCGGTCGGTAATCGATTGAGGCGGTGTGCGAAGTGGATGTGACCGTGACCAGTCACGCCTCGCACATTGACGTCAGGAGGGCCATTGTTCGACCCGCACACAAAACGTGTCCTCCGTGGGACTGTCCGAGGATTCGGCGTTCGGTGAGAGAAGTCTCCGATTGCGAGTTCCCGAGAACAAGTTTTCACTGCGACGAATGGATAGTGCAGGCCGCTTCACGTTTGAAAGGGTCTATGGAACGAGATACGCGTTCTTTAACTCCTCGACCGTGTAGCCCAAGAGTCGGCTCAGGGACAGAAGAGGGACTTAAGCGCCCACTCCGCAGCGATAATGTCAATCTTGGACATGAGGTATGTTTTAGGGACGGTTGCTTCTACCGGCGGAGCTCATGTGGCCTGTTATCGATGCATGGCGTGGTGCGTTTTCTTCTTAAGCAGTAGATGGAGGACCTCTCTCACTGTGCGATTCATCTTCTGCAATAACTAAACCTCTACACACGACCAGGACCGCATCTTCTTCACGCTCGGAACCCATCTGGATGACGGACCCACGTGCGCCGAATAATGGGGATTCCCTCGAATGTCGGTCAAAATCTATTGGGCTAGTGATAACGGACGGCTTGATTTCCTCAACAGACAAACTCCACTCACACTTGAAATCAGAAATCGCTGCTTGGAACATCAGTGCTACCGCTGCTGGAGTCGTAGTAAGTGGATCTGCACTCTCACGTTCAGTGGTCTGACTAGCAAACTATGCTCCTTCCTAGACCGTTCTCCTTGCCGGCATCGCGACCTCGATCCTCGGCATATATCGCTCCGATACGGCCGTCAACCTGAAAACAGGCCGGGTTGTCACGGCATTCCGGATAGTATCCTACTTGGCTATCCAGTGCAACACTCTCGCGACAGTTGCGTCTCTTTGCTTCATAGACCGATTGGGCGACTTGCCCATCCACGCAGAAGAGGACGACAAACCGACTCAAGGAAAGCTACCCAATCAGGGGCGTTTGAGGACGCTTAGTTCGTTTGGAAGGGCCTCATACGGGGGGATTTTCAGACAATGTATGTGCGCTTTTCTAACGCGGTCCTCTCCCCTTATCTTTCATAGGGATGGCCTATTTTGCTCTAGGCACGATATTTCTATTTCTACAGATCTTGCTCTTCATCGCCCTCGAAGAGAGTCACCTGACCGCTATCTTGATGGGCTCGGTCATCTTCATTCTGGGCGGAGCTCTCATCGCGACTACATTTCATGATCGCAAAAAAAGATAGATCGGCCTCGTACTAGATGTTAAAAATTTGTTAGAGCCTGAATACATGAATACCCGTCGCCTTCCTTTTTCCAGTGCGGAATGTCACGTATCATGCATCTTGCACGATTCAATTGGTCTGACGATATGCATTCCCCATATCTGAAGCAACACTGCCCGGTGCATTCATTCCAAAAATATATGCAATAAGCTGTAAACATATTGGACGGGGACCAGTAGACATCAGTGTGACCTGAGACTTCTTCTTTCTCTCGATTCGTGTACCCCTCACAGCTTAGGTTTCATCAACGGCGCGTATTCAGCCTGCCTTTTCTCCTTCACAGCAAGTAAGCTTTCGGGAATATCCTGAGAGAAGACAGAAATCAAACAAAGTCAGGATACGAAGTTTCTCGCCAACCTTGGTTTGCAACGCCGCCGAGTTCCAAATCGCCGTGTACTCTAGATTCTCCTCGATACTAGCAAATATCAGTCGTGGGCCAAGAAATGACAGAAAAGTCCGTGTAGAACACACCTGTGATCTCTTGCATGATTCAAAATTCGCTTCGTCCCAGAAACTGCGAGTGGGCTCTTGCTCGCGATCTCAGCCGCCAGCTCCAGGGCGGCTTTGACAACCTCATCCTTTCCTCCAGGCACGACTGTAGACAAAAGACCCAGTCTCAGAGCATCAGACGCGGTGAAGAATCGGGAAGTGTACGCCAATTCCTTCGCCAGCGAGTGGTTTGCGGTGATCTTGGGGAGATACGAGAGGGTCCCGATATCAGCTGCCAGTCCGACATCGACTTCCTGAGTGCGGTGAGCTAAGCATGGCTTCGATGGACGGGATTCTGGTGCCGACCTTGATGGTAAACCTGGAGTTCTCCGCGCCGTACCGGATATCACAAGCGGAGATGATATCGATCCCCAGGCCGACGACGAGTCCGTGCACGGCGGCAATCACCGGGACAGGGCATCGGTCTGGCGCGCCGATGGCGTGCTGGAATTCGTGCACATGGTGCAAGGAGGAGAGCGCTCTTCGTGCGGGGTCTGGGAAGTCGGTATTCTCCAGGCTGGCAGACAGCTCACCGACTGGGGATTTGCGTTAGAACTGGACAGAACGAGAGAGCGGGAAGTTACCGTCGATTCCAGCGGTAAAAAGCTTGGGGAATGCGGAAGAGAGGACTACGGCGCGTACATCTCTCGCTTCACGGGTGATCCTGTCGAACAGATCGCCATACTCTTTCCAGAACCTGTCGTCGTAAGTTTAGCGCTTAGAGCTAGTTAGCCGGAAAAAGCCCTACTCAGTCGTAAATGCGTTCACTGGTTTACTGCGCAGGGTATGAATGACGCTCACGACCGAAAAGCATTCGTCACACGCACCGGGAAAGCTGGACGTGCAAGACATGCGGAGAAGGCTCAGACACGAGCATCTGCGCCGATGATAGTCCTTGAGCTATAGACATCGGGGTATCGAGACGGTGTGTAGTATCTGCTCGTGACGGTCAGGAAGAAAGTGGCCGAAATAACCTTTGGGAAACCATGTGATATCACAGAATCCCGATCGGGGATAGAGTGGTGCTCGCCGATCGTCGGATCCTGCCGGATTGGTGGATATCACTGTGTCATCTGTGACACAGTGACGGAAGCTGTCAGGCGATGACTCTCCAATGTCGGACGGAGAGATATGCCTCGAATTCTCTCGTCCCTCCCTGATTTTGCACGTTCACTGAATCCAAGACAGAATGTGCCGAAAGTCTCTCTCAGTGAATTCGTCAAGCGAGCCCAAAGATCCATACTGTGGAGGGACGGGATGTGGGACATCTAACGAAGTATTGCGTGTAGCAAGTTAATGAGTACCTGAAATCTCACAAGTACCTAAGATAATCCATGGGCAAGCTTCTTGGCAAGAGGCTCAGCAACTTTGTTTGATTTAATTCCAAGTGTGGGGTGCGCTACGAATATTTTTCTGTCCGATGTCCAAAAAAGGAAAGTATCCCGATGTGGGACAGATCGTGATTGCGACACATTTTGCTTCCTCCACGCCTTGACCTATGCTTGTAACTCACTTTTATCTTACTTCTGCGTCTCTGCGTACAGTTTACTAATGGATATGCACTTGTAGTGTGGTGTCAATGAGGCATTTTCGCTTGGGAAGGCTCAGTGGATCAGTTCTCCTGCAACTTTCGAGGTACATCGTCATTGCCTCGCACTCATCAACATTGCTGAGTGGTTCCCAGGTGATATCACTATCCTCCCAAATGACCATGAACTCTATATGTCCCCGGACCCATTGATGACCATTGATACACACCACAACAGTCTCATCGGCCTTGTCCTCTGAATCACCACTGTCAATATGATCATTTGCATCTATGTCCGAGCCAATTGTGAGGGATAGAGCAGGAAGTTGCATGTGGTGTTCGCTTGGGGTTGGAGAGGGTGTAATATCTTGAAGGCTGTTTGTTGGCAAGAGGCTCTGTGAGTCAGACTTGGTGGGGTCATCTGAATCATTGTTTTCCATGCCTGAATGCTCAGTTTGAGACTTGTCGCTTTCTGAACTGTCCTGGTGTGTATCCCATTCATCTTCCTCCTCTGAGATGTCTCCCAGTCCATCCTCTGAGATCTCCTCAAGTTCCTCCTCAGAACTACTTCTGGGTGATACCTCCCTGTCCCTGTCCCCGTCCACGTCCACAACCTCTAGAGCCCCGACCTCTACCTCTCGGTCCACCTCTTGTGCTCTCTCCTCTCCCTCTCCCTTGTCCCTGTCCGCTGTCAGGGGAACCCCTGCTTTCGTCCGATCATCCTGGGATCTTGCATGTGACCGTGCACGCGCCATCTGTCAGGCGTCACATGCTTCGGTCCGGACTTCCCTGCCAAGCGCATCCACATGACACCCGGGCCCGGATCCCCATTGTTCCGACGGTCCGGCTCCCATTGTTCTCCCCCGATCCGGCCCCTCATTGTTCCCTGGCCCCATTGTCTGGCGCTTCCATTGTGCTTGGTCATCCATTGTTCTGTAGGCTATATATAGTGGGCCCTGACAAGGAGAGTCCCCAACTCGGTTTCTCTTTGGACTCTCCCTTGTCAGGTTTGCCAGTCTCCTGTACTAGTCGATCCCCTTATCTGACGCTTTGGACTCTCCCTTGTCAGGACTCTGAGATCGGGCCTCGAGGTCGCCCTTACAGCAGAAACCGAGTTCCTAGGGATAACTGGACAAGCTTGTGAAGACCGCCGATAGCGTCATACGCCTCTCACTTCCAATCTTGTCCCCTCCTCCCCCTCTACGATCATCATGTCCTACATGGAAGAAGAAGACCACGGGTCCTCCCCTGAGCAGCGACTTGGTAATCTAGAGGAAGCCATGCAGCGAATAGAGGGACTCCTCAACAACTTCATAATCGAACAGCAACAGCCTGCCCCTGTCCCTGCCCCGTCTCCGGCAGTGGGTCCAGGTGTATTTACTGGCCAACAGGCCAGCTCGAGACCCCTCATCCGCCCCAATCCCCCATTCGCGTTTGACGGAGATCGCACCCAGGGCAAGACGTTTCTCCATTCCGTCAAGCAGTACTGGCGCCTCCTCCCTGAGGCCTTCCATGTGAACGGGGTAGTATCAGAAGAGCGGGTGGTACGTTTCGCCCTCTCCTACATGTCCAAGGACTCGGCGGCCTCCTGGTCAGAACGCATGTCAGAGCGCCTCGTCTTCCCATTTCCGACCTGGGCTTCCTTTGTGGCCGAGTTCAAGCTCCGGTTTGTCGAGGAGAACGAGCAAGACCACGCCCTGGCACGACTGGAGACCCACGCTTACTACATGGGATCCCGCAACGTGTTCAAATACACGGACGAGTTCGACGACCTTCTCGACTTGGCGGGTTACTCTGACAACTTGGTCAAGGTCACCAAGTACCGGGCGGGTCTGGACCCCAGAATCAATCAGGCGATCACGACCTCCGGTAACCCGCCTAGCCTCACAAACTACTCGGAGTGGCGTACCCGCGCATTCCGCCAGTACAACGCCGAGGTGGCTGCCCGAGCTGCGTGAGGACAGGTGTTCTCTCCATCCCGCGCTCCGCCTCCTGCGGCCCCCCGCCCTCGCCCCGTGGCTGCTCCGGTGGTTGCTCCACCTCCTGCTCCCCGACCAGCCCCAGTAGTCCTCCCACCGGGCATTCCCATGGAGATCGACCGAACCAGAGCCCGCACCGGTGTTCGTCGCACCTGCTTCCGATGCGGCAGCCCAGGACACCTGGCCCGAGACTGCCCGACCCCCGCGGATGTCCGGCACGCTGACGTCCTGGACGAAGTGATCAATCAGCTGGGAAGCAACCTGTTGGCGGAATTAGTGGCCCGGCTAGCAACTACAGCGGCTGTAGAAGATCACGAAGCGGAGATTGCCGACGAGTTGGAGCAGGGTTTTCTCCCCCGCGACGAGTGAATAGTACGCCCTCGATCGCCTCACGTAATCGTTTTGAATGTCTGTATGATGAATGCGACCTCATTTCCCCTGCAAACGAAACGATAGACGTACCCCCTGCCCCTCGCTCTGTCCCGCTGGCCCGCAAGGAAAAGTGGGAACGAAAACTCCCTCAGCGCTACGTGGTCGCAGCCTCCCCCGGCGCCAACTCCCTGCACCTCCCCCTAGAGATCCAGTCCACCGACAATGCAGTCCAGCTCGCCCTCAACGGACTGGTCGACTGCGGCGCCACGTCGGACTTCATCGACTCCACCTACGCCTCCGAAAACCGACTTCCGGTCCGGCAGCTCTCCCAGCCTATCCCAGTCTACAACGTGGACGGCACGCCAAATGAAGCCGGCTCCATCCGACAAGTTGCCGACGTGGTCCTGCGTTACCAAGGACACAGCGAGCGTGTCCAGCTCGCCGTCACTCGGCTTGGCAAGCAGAAATTGATCCTCGGCTATTCCTGGCTTCGGAAGCACAACCCGGAGATCAATTGGGACACCCAGGAGGTAAAGATGAGCCGCTGCCCATCGGGCTGCTCTACCTGCACCGAGGAATCTCGCCAAGAGAGACGGATAGCCCAGATTTCGGCCCGAGCACTCCGATCAGCCCGACAAGGCCCTGCCCCCTCCATCTGCGTCGTTGATATTGAAGACCGCGAAGACGAGGCTATGCCACTGCTCCAGGAAGACGACGGAGAAGATTCCGACGAAGAAGAAGATTGTCTGGAAACCGGTGACCGTATCCTCTACACCCGTTTCAACCCTTCTGAAGACATCCGAGCCACTAGCACCGTCTCCCAGCGTCTTGCGGAGGCGTTTGCCAAGAACTCTGCCCCCCCTCGGGATTCCATACCCGAGTGGGCACGTGAGTTCGAGGATGTTTTCAGCAAGGAGTCCTTCGACAACCTTCCGGAACGTCGCCCCTGGGACCACGCCATCGAACTGGTGCCCGACGCAAAGCCAACGAACTGCAAGGTCTACCCTATCTCCCCCTTGGAGCAGAAGCAGCTTGACGCTTTCATCGAAGAAGGCATGGCCACCGGCCGGATCCGACCCTCGAAGTCCCCTATGGCCTCCCCGGTCTTCTTTGTCAAAAAGAAGGACGGCAGTCTACGGTTTGTCCAAGATTACCGGGCACTGAATGCAATGACAGTGAAGAATCGGTACCCCCTCCCCTTGATCAACGACCTGATCAACAAGCTCAAGGGTGCCCGCTTCTTCACCAAACTCGATGTTCGATGGGGCTTCAACAACGTACGGATACGAGAAGGAGACGAGTGGAAGGCTGCGTTTCGGACCAACCGTGGGCTCTTCGAGCCACTGGTGATGTATTTCGGCCTTACCAACTCCCCCGCGACGTTCCAGACCATGATGAATGACATCCTCCAGGACCTCATCCTCTCGGGCGACGTCATGGTGTACCTGGACGACATCCTCATTGCGCACTCCGACCTTCACCTCCATCGTCGTATCGTGAATGAGGTCCTCCGACGCCTTCGCAAAAACAAGCTGTACCTCCAAGCAGAGAAGTGCGAATTCGAGATGGAGTCCATCGAGTACCTTGGCGTGATCATCTCCCACAACCACGTCGAGATGGACCCCGTCAAGGTGGCAGGAGTAGCCGAATGGCCGGCTCCCTCTAACAAGAAGGAAGTGCAGCAGTTCCTTGGGTTCACTAACTTCTACCGGAGGTTTATTCGGGACTTCTCCCACGTTGCGCGCCCGCTCTTCGACCTCACCAAGAAGGACGTATCATGGTCTTGGGGCGACAACGAGTCCGCTTCGTTCCAGGCCTTGAAGGATGCAGTCACCTCTACACCGGTTCTTCTCCTCCCAGACTCCTCTCGTCCTTATCGCCTAGAGGCTGATAGCTCCGATTTTGCCACAGGAGCCGTCATCTCGCAGCAGTCCCCCTCGGACGACAAGTGGCACCCAGTCGCCTTCTTTTCCAAGAGCCTTAACGACGTCCAACGCAACTACGAGATCCACGACAAGGAGATGCTCGCAATTGTACGTGCGCTGGAGGAGTGGCGGCACTTCTTGGAAGGCGCCGAATACCCCGTGGAAATCTGGACCGACCACAAGAACTTGGAGTACTTCCGCAAGGCCCAGAACCTCAATCGCCGGCAAGCCCGATGGTCGCTCTACTTGTCCCGCTTCGATTTCACGCTCCACCACCAACCTGGCCGGCTCATGGGACGACCAGACGCACTCTCCCGACGCCCGGACCACGGAGCCCCCTCGGACAACACAGATGTCACCCTGCTGAGGCCGGAACTGTTCCATGTGCGTGCACTCGAGGGACTTTCCGTCTCTGGCCCGGAAGCCCCGCTTGTCCGTGACATTTGGGAATCGCTTTCCGGTGACCCTGACCTTGAGGAAGCTGTTGCGCTCGTAGCGCGACAGCTTCTAAAGGGGATGAAGGGGGCCCGCTCTGCAGTCACAGCAGAGTGGCGTGTCCAGGACGGCCTGCTCTACTTCCGTGGGAAACTGGTGGTTCCGCGCGACAAGGACCTTCGACGACGCATCCTCGAGCAACATCACGACACCCGTGTTGCAGGGCACGCTGGGCGCTTCAAGACGCTGGAGCTGGTCTCTCGGAACTACTGGTGGCCCCAGCTTTCACGACACGTTGGCCGATACGTGGCCACCTGCGACCTGTGCTGTCGGACCAAGGCTCTCCGACGACTCCCCACTGGAGAGCTTCACCCCACAGAGATCCCCTCGGAACATTGGGAATCGGTGTCGGTGGACTTTATTGTTGAGTTACCGGAGGCGCACGGCTACGACGCTATCATGGTGGTCGTTGACATGCTAGGGAAGCGTGCCCACTTCATCGAGTGCCACACTCGCCTCTCGGCCGAAGGGATGGCTTGGTTGTTCTACAAGCACGTCTGGCGACACCACGGGTTACCTATCAAGTATGTCTCCGACCGCGGCCCTCAGTTTGTGGCGGACTTCACCCGGGAGCTATGGAAGCTGGTTGGCGTTTCCCCTGCCACGTCCACTGCTTATCACCCGCAGACTGATGGCCAGACCGAGCGGGTCAACCAGGAGCTGGAGCAATACCTCCGGATCTTCACCAGCTACAAGCAGGACGACTGGGACGAGCTCCTGCCCGCAGCCGAGTTTGCTTACAACAACCACGTCCACTCCTCGACCCAACAGGTTCCCTTCATGACGGACACAGGACGTTTACCACGCATGGGATTCGAGCCAACAGGGCAGCGCTCCACCCGAGCAGAGTCTGCCAACGAGTTTCTGGATCGGGTCGCATCGGGCGTAACCGAGGCCAAATCAGCACTGGTCAAGGCAAAGGACGAGTACAAGAGGTACTATGACCGACGAAGGACCGCCGCTCCCGACATCAAGGTTGGCAGCCGAGTCTGGCTCGACGCCTCGGACATCACAACAACGCGACCCTCTCGTGGCCTCTCCCACCGACGCCTGGGCCCCTTCAAGGTCACCCAAGTCGTAGGTCAAGGCGCATACAAGCTCGCCCTCCCCACTAGCCTCTCTCGCCTCCACCCTGTCTTCCCCGTGGTCAAGCTCCAGTTGGCCGAAGACGACCCGTTCCCCACTCGCCCACGTCATAAAGAACCACCCCCTGTCCTGGGACAAGGCGAAGGAGAGGAGTGGGAAGTGGAGGAGATCCTAGACGCAAAGATGCGATACCGGAGTGTCTGGTTCCGAGTGCGATGGAAGGGCTATGACCCATCTCATGACCAGTGGGTCAAGCACTCAGATGTGTTTGCTGACGATGCAGTGGCAGCATTTTACCGCAAATACCCTGGGAAGCCACGTGTCATCGCAGCGGCCGTATTTGACTCGCTGCCCTTCAGGGACTCGTCAACCCCCAACCGTGCCTTGCGTCGAGGCGCCGCAATCAAGAGGGGGGGTGATGTCAGGGGAACCCCTGCTTTCGTCCGATCATCCTGGGATCTTGCATGTGACCGTGCACGCGCCATCTGTCAGGCGTCACATGCTTCGGTCCGGACTTCCCTGCCAAGCGCATCCACATGACACCCGGGCCCGGATCCCCATTGTTCCGACGGTCCGGCTCCCATTGTTCTCCCCCGATCCGGCCCCTCATTGTTCCCTGGCCCCATTGTCTGGCGCTTCCATTGTGCTTGGTCATCCATTGTTCTGTAGGCTATATATAGTGGGCCCTGACAAGGAGAGTCCCCAACTCGGTTTCTCTTTGGACTCTCCCTTGTCAGGTTTGCCAGTCTCCTGTACTAGTCGATCCCCTTATCTGACGCTTTGGACTCTCCCTTGTCAGGACTCTGAGATCGGGCCTCGAGGTCGCCCTTACATCCGCATCTACATGTATTTGTGCCTTGACCCCCGCCGTGCCCACATTCCCGTGGACGGCTGCGTCCATGGCCTCAAGGCACCTCATTGGGCACATAGTCTATCCCAAATTGAGCACATCCCTTTCAACCTCAACTACGTGGGCACCAAAGCTTCCGAGCCAGCGCTGCATTGAGCCATTCAGAATGGGCCTGCTCTGCGCTCCAATCAAAGTTGTGTGGTGGTGGGATGCTCAAAAAGCCAGTATGCTCTCGACTGTTCTCAGACATCCATTTCTCAACGTGGTTCAGAAGTCGACCCAGTTGGGTGAACACGAGCGCCCATTCCTGTTTGATCTCTTCTCGCAGCGTCTCCTCCGGTGTAAGCAGACGCACCCCTCCCGTGATATATTTGTGCTTTCCTCGATTCTTCTTCGCAAAAGAGAGCTCGCGCAACTTCTTATTTTCCAACTCCAAAAGCATCCTCTGTGCCTGATCCTGCTGCAGTTGAATATTGGCTGCTTTGAGAATGCTACGGAGTTTTGTGTTCTCCAGGTGAAGAACCGTGCGCGAGGTTGGTCCCTTGACCGGAGATGGCATTCCAATTTGACGCAGCAATCCGAGAAGAAGTTCTGCGTTGCCAGTTACACCGGACGGTGCGGCGGCAGCAGATGGGGTGGACGGATGGGTCATGGGCGTGGTGGTTGGCAGGATTGGGTTAGAATCTGGGTCTGGATTCCAGAACAAACCAGGTTGTGGTGGGAGAGACGGAACTGGGGCTTCGGTTGAGAACAACTTCGCAGGCTTGAATTCATATGCAGGAACTGCCATGCGGTCCAGGGGGTGGATTCCACTTCGACGGAAGGCATTGGTGATGGTTTCACATTTGAATGCACGTGCTCAAGCAGTAGAATAGACAACAAGTAGATTGTTCTTTGTAACATGTTGGCCTCGTACGTTCAACTACATATCAACATCTCAATCAACAGACGATACAGCATCCGACAGTTTCTTCACTCACCTCCTGAACCTCCTTCTTCCAGTACAAAGACAAGGGTTTGAAGACACCAACATCACATGGTTGGAGTGCGTGAGTTGTGTGAGGGGGAAGGCAGAGAATGATGATACGATGCTCCTCGGCAAAGCTGGCAAAGCGATGATAGGCTGGCTACCAGACACGCTCTGCACCAGCTCTGTAAGGGCGTATTTTTGCGCTTTTTACAGAGTTTACTCTTGAACCATTTGGTGTATCGTGTCGCGGTTGACAGTGTTGCGCTCAGTAGGGCTTGAGGGTCTACTGCCCAGTCGGCAACTGTGGATAGTGTCGACGATAGCAAGGCAGTCAGACCACTACTGTGGAATTGGTCTTATGAGTCTATACCAGGCTCAGGGCTAATAGTGACAAACGCTTGGACCGCGACAATCCCCCAAAAGGGATCTTTGTCGCGGCAACTTCTCAAAAGGGTCATTCTCTGCAGATGAGAACTTGGGCTGAAGGGCTGAGCAATGCGCGACAATCTCAATATTACAACTACTACTGGACAGGACTTGGTGTTACAAGATTGAACCAATCTTGTCGCGGCAACGCCCGGTTTTGGGTTGGACGTTTCCTCAGATCATGCCACGGCGATGACTTGTCACATGTCAGGATCTATTCGATCACGGGACATTGTGGACGCGTCGCGGTGACACTTCCAAGTGTCATGGCGAGTCGCGCCCATACCCAAACACACTAGAATTGACACGGGCTAGATCCGTGAACCAAACCATGTGGGGAACGACTGGCGTGCCTAGGGCCATACGGCTTCTTGGGGCACCCACATTGGACTCACCCGCCAAGACATACCTGTTGGCCAATCCAGCACGTCGTATTCCAAAAGTATGATGCAGTGGGTTGACCCACATCAAAAGTACCATATGGACTATGGGGTGGGGTCCTGATCACTCAGGACCTGTCCAATCGTTCAACTTTTCATTACTCTAAAAGGCAACCAATCTTAGATAGCGTAGCTGCTATGCAGTTGTACAGGACTTTACTAAGCAGCGTCGTAGACAGTACAAGTAGCACATCGTTTCTTTGTATTAGGGAGCTTTCCCCCGGACTGTGAATCACTCTCATATCAGATTGTTTTGTACAATTTGCGTGCCACGTGATTCCACCCTAAGAAGTTCTGCTACCCCTGCCCAGGTGCGACGAGTTGCTCCCTGAGCACTTGTAGCTACTGTGATTTGAGTTTGAAGTTGAGATATCAGAAAGTCGGATTTGCCGCATCTGGTTTAGTCGCGGCATTTAGTGTCGTCGCCTTTGGGCTTTGTTGAGATCGTTTCCACACCTCTAGTTTGGCAGTGCATCGACTAGTTATGCTCGGGTTGTTTGGTCAGTTGGCAGTGCGTCGACTTGAGAACTTTGGTTCCACACTTCTTGCTTGGCAGTGCATCAACAAGTTGTGCTTGGGTTTTGGACATTGGATATTGACTGTTAGTTGGCAGTGCATTGATGTGGCATTTTGGTTTACTAGTTGGCAGTGCGTCGACTCAGTACTTTGGTTGTGTCAGTTGGCAGTGCGTCGACTTGGCATTTTGTTCTACTAGTTGGCAGTGCGTCGACTCAGTATTTTGCTGCATTGGTTGACAGTGCGTCGACTTGATATTTGGGCTTTGCGTCGCCATCTGGACGCTGTCGCTACAAGGGATCTTAACACTTTGTATTAAGTTCTGACTTGTGATATTGTTGGTTGTGGTTGGATTAGTGTTGGGTTTTGTTTGTATAGAAGATATTGGTTGAGACACCACTGTTTGCTATATATATAAATTCTTGTCTTCGACTTTGTCTTCCGCGACTATTGGATCTGCGTCTATTGAGAGTTGTGATACTGGTGCTCTGTCCACCCCGAAGCCCTCGCATCTTTCACACACTGAGAAGCTGATTACGAGGAGTGTGAACGTGTTGATATTTGGGTTTACTTTCATTGTAGATTCACTTGTGAGCACGCCCTCAGCATTTCAGCGGTTTTTTGGGTTCAGTCACATAAGCCTTATCTATGAAGTTGAAGGTCTTCATTATAATTACGAGGGTCCTTTAGTTAGATGTCTCACCATGTGAATCAGATGCTGGAGCAAATGGCAGAACTGGCCTCTGCTGCCTCCACAGGTTATCACTTGAAGAGTCTGAATGAGATGACAATGTAACAGATAGATGTTCTCATAGATAACTATGTTCTGCTATTTATACATCTGCATGCTAGTTTGATTGCAATAGAATGTTGAATTCAGAGAATGGGGGACCCTGGAGGCACTGGAGGCGCATGCAAGATCCAATCAATGTCATCAATGCTATCAATGCCATCAATAGCATCAAGAGCATCACCGATCATTGGTAGATTGATCAGCCAATCAAATCATGAATAAAGATCGAACATCTAGTATATTCATTCCTGAGAGACACAGACTAGATGTATGCTCATACTGAAAGTGGACTATTGGTCCCAGGACATGCCCCAGTGACATATTGCATCCTTGTCTCAAGAACATATGATTGAAATTCGGAGTTTGCAAATGAACTGAAAGTCAACTGAAGATGAGTGAGTGGTACAGTGGAGTACTTTCAGCTCATTTGCCAACTCCGATTTTTAATCATATGTCCCTGAGACAAGCATGCAATATGTCATTGGGGCATGTCCTGGGACCACTCATCCACCATCAGCATGAGGATATATGTAGTCTGTGTCTCTCAAGAATGAATATACCCAATGTTTGACCTTTATTCATCATCTGATTGGCTGATCAATCTACCAATGATCGGTGATGCTCTTGATGCTATTGATGGCATTGATAGCATTGATGACATTGATTGGATCTTGCATGCGCCTCCAGTGCCTCCAGGGTCCCCCATTCTCTGAATTCAACATTCTATTGCAATCAAACTAGCATGCAGATGTATAAATAGCAGAACATAGTTATCTATGAGAACATCTATCTGTTACATTGTCATCTCATTCAGACTCTTCAAGTGATAACCTGTGGAGGCAGCAGAGGCCAGTTCTGTCATTTGCTCCAGCATCTGATTCATATGCTGAGCTGTCTCCATAGAGGACCCTTGGCTTTCAAATAAGACATCTGACATTGAACACATAGTTTCTGCTGCTAAATCCAAAGAAACTGCTTTTAGTCCCCAGCTGTGGAGGCTGTGGAGAGCCTTTCTGCAATCTGCTCCAGCATCCAATTCACATGTTGAGCTACCGCTCTAGGGGATCCTGTGTATCTCAATGAAGATAGATAATGTCATGAACACGGTTTGTGTGGCTGAATCTACAATAACCGCTTTTGATCCCCAGCCCTGGAGGTGGTGGAGGCTTGTTCTGCCACTGCACCAGCATCTAATTTATATCCTGGGCTGTTGTTTTGACAAAGCATAAGCATCAAATTGATCTATTGAAGCGGAATTCAAGGGCCTGTGGGCTACCCAACACCTTTTTTTCTGCCCCTGGGAGGTCATGGAGGCCATAAACCATCCCTTCAGCAACATCTCATTTTTTGCATGTGGGCACAGCTACCTCATGCTCAATCTTAAATTAATACATATACTGTTGCTCTATGCACCTGAGGAGTGCTCACGTACTCAGATCCCGAATTTTGTGCACCCAGTGGTCTGCCATTTGCAAGCAAGAAATACATGCTTTTGAGAGGTAAGACATTGCTGAGGCTTTATACTGACTACTACAGCATATATCAGCACTCAGGCCAATCCCTAGCCTACCATGCAGGCAGTGGACAAATGGCCAGGCAGCGTCCCAATTAGGAAGGCGCCTCCAGGATGGCCTCCAATCAGGGGGGGTAGGGGGTGGTTTGATGGCCTCCGGAGGGGGCGAGGAGTAACGAGAATTGTAGGACTAGGACTGGCAGCCCAGTCCTACTCCGTGAAAGTTGTTAGCACAGGATGGTCTATCGCAATCCGATTTGAGATAAGCCCAGTCCTACAGGAACACAACCCCACATCAATCTTGCGTGATTGGACTAGACCGGACTTGAGACGTCACAGCCAACATGCGGTGCCTGAAAGTTGTCGCCTATTGGAGACATTTTATCTTCTGGCATGATGAGGGTATGCAATAAAGAAAAGGATGCAATTCTCAACATGGCCGTGTAGGACTCGAAAGAACGCAATAAATAACGCAAAAAAACACGTGTTGAACGCGTGTTGATGGGCATAGTGAATTTCATCACCATCGGGTAGCAATTTCAAATTATCGTGGTATAAAGCTTGCAGTAATCGATAAATCCTCACGTTCCCAATGTTGAATTTCCAGGACTCCGTGGAGGCCATGCCAATGAGGACTATTCGCGATTATCGCGAACACTTACGTGACTTGTCCCACGGTTGAAATAGTCTGACATCACTCCTTCAGATGCACTCAAAGCTTGTTACTCAGGCTACGCACGATCCACATCTCTCTATGGATTGTCCTGAACGCTGGATAACCTCCCATGGATTTCAACTGTTCTTGCAGTTTGACAGCGCAGTACCACTCATGGATCCGTTGGAGGCATCGCGACGAGATCTCATCACATTCCGAGAACAAGTGCGTGTTTTATGGCTCATTATAGCGTTCCCTGATTTTCCTAGATCTTACCTCCGGACCTGCTCAGCCACGCGTTCTTTAGCCTCGATAACGTTGAAGATTGGGTGATGCCGGGTCCATTCACGACCTTCACTCGATTGGAAATGGAGCGGTCAAGATATTTCCCACCTACATTGTCCCAGCAGGACCCTTTATTCCGACCAAATAGCTCCATGTCAACAAACACACGCTCTGAAGCCGGTTCAGAGGTTTTCTCCGAAGGTGAAAATGTGTAGCGGTAGACGCCATCAATTGTTCCTCTGTCTCAAAATGGCATTAGATCCGCCGCCGCTTTCTGACTGCTCTCGTCCTGGTAGTGCCATGTCTATTCGTTCGGAATCTTCACAAGGTATGTCTTTCTGAGCTGTGTGCCTCATGTACAATTGATGACTCGAGATACAGCGTCTCAGTTGCCTCTTTCTGCTTCATCGCTGCCTGATGCAGCTCAATCTAGTGAGTTTGCATCCATTCTTGATCATATTAACATTGAAACCTTTCAAGACAAGTTCCATCCTATCCGTCCAAAGCCGGCCCGAATGCCACGTCAACCAAGGAAAGCGCAACGAGAGGAGCGCAAAGGCATGATCGCCATCTCGAGAGAGCCATGGGTTCATGAGTTACGAACCATCAAGGCCATTCCTGACACCTGGGACGTATCAAGAGATGACCACCGAGTTGCATATCTTGTGGACATGTCCGAGGCTTTGGAATTGCTTCGTGATGATAAAGGTATTGTTCAATCAATTCAGGCATATATTCGGAAGCAGGTGTGTTTGATACAGTTCTATGCAGCCCAGTTCCTCATTTCGTGGCCGATGTTCATAGGATCAAGACTCTTGGGCTGGGAAGGGATCTGGCGGGAGTCTGAAAGGCGACACTGACGTCTTGGCGTTCCCCGGAGAACCAGGGAAAGCTGTCCGTTGTCGTCGTGGACAATTCGGCTGTGGAGGAATGTGGAAGTGCAAGTTTCTTGATCCCCAACTCCTCGAGAATTGCGAGAGATACGAGGTGGACGACACAGAACGTCAGAAGCTCTCAGCATTAGTATTGGAGGCCAACGAACATGAGAGCGAAACAGAGTGGACAGTGATCGCTCAGTAATGTTGATCTTTGAATTCAGTTCTACACCTCTGACGTGCTGTAGATTCTTCCGGTATGTCAAAGGCCTGAAGTGTAAAGCAAAAGTAAATGGTGTCTCGTGTTTGGGTACTGCTGTGGTTGTCCCATACAAAACGGTTTGTCTCCTTCGATTGAACAGGGATATAATTTTTCTTACCTAGTTTACAGCCAATTCCTGGGCAGAACAAGTATTTTATTGGCTGTAGCGCATGGTCTCCTCAGGCCAACGAATGACAGAAGCATATTTCTGATTGCCTTCGACCTCACATCAACGAGGACTTGTTTCGTTATGCCATGGATCATGACGGGTTACTTCCAAACTCCCCCACTACTCACAACTCCTGTTGCTTCACTGCACACCCACGCTTTGGTTTACTCAACTGTGGTGCGTTTTCTTCTCATCTAACTGCAATGTTCTGAATTGGAACCAGCTTATTCTCACATGATTGAGGGCCAAATCAAGATCAGACAAATGGTTCCACACAAATGTCCCTGTGAGATGCTCATATTTGAGCCAGTCAATCCGGCTCCAGCTCTAGCAAATAAAGCCATCATCTTCATTTGTAAACCGCACAGTCACCCCATCTATCCCCGAACAAAGCCTAGTTCGGCTGATCGTCAGAAGCTGAATGCTGCAATTGATGCTGCCGGACTCGGTTCTGTTACGACTCAGAAACTACTGGATGGTTTGTTACATTCGTTTCATTTTGCGGCTGTAGCTCATTGATGACTTTCATATCAATTCACAGCGTCTTCAACACGAGATCTTTAAGGAGGAAAGCGTGTGAGTGAGGAGAGTCCTGCCTTTGCAGATAAGCGTCTCGTAAGGGATACAATTGCAAAGCGCCAAGGGGAAGCTTATCCGCACGGCATGGGATGGCTGGGTGAGCTGTCTACCCGCATTCTTTCACAAATTTGGTCACTAATAACTCGTCGAAAGGTGTTGTCAACCGATTTACGACCATTGACCAGAAGAAACCTCCCGTGGAGCAGTACATACACTCGGTTATCAGCAAAAATTCACGACTTGCTGTTATGATGCATCCCATGCTTGCTCAACGTGTCCATCACATGACGGCCATCATGTTTGATTATGCATACAAGCGAATCGAAGGGGAACTGAATGAATGTGACGCTGCAGGATTTTCGAATTCACTCAATACTTGTGAGTGAGAACTGCTCAAAGCACTCTGTCTGCTTTTTGACATTTTATGCCGCAGGGATTCTCTTTGGCAGCGTAATTGGTGACGGCCTTGATTCTGCATCATAAAAAACGATGTTTTCAGAGTTTTGGGACGCAGTCGAGAGCTGTACTGGCCAAACTCTGAAGCTGGCGCCGTTCTATCCAGATGCAAAACTCAAGGTCATTGTTCTTGATGGCGACATTGCTCAAGCGCTTGGACTTGGCATGTTTCTTGTCAACTACAACAAGCCAGAAATCAGCAGAATCCACACCACTGATCCAGCCGAGATCATCTCCTACTCTCTCAAGATGTGTTCGGTTCACTTTCAACGGTGCGCATGTCCATCAAATATTGGCGTTGACACATTCACTCATACACCACAGTCATATCAACGAACTCCCGAAAACCATCCCCTTGAATATAATTGCGCTTGCAAAGTCGATCTTGACTGCAAAAACTCAAGAGGAGATTGATCACTGGCATTCCGTGATGTCTTCGCAAACTGTCACTGAGCTCAAGAGTTTGTGCTCTTCCAACTTCGAATAATACTCTCTGACTTATTTGCTAGACTGGTATGAGCATAAGCTTCATAATCCCCTCATTTTTCGCGCCATCAACCAGTCGCTCTCGAAGATTCCTTTGGGAATTTGGAATACAACACCGGACAGTACCAACTACGTCGAGTCGGCACATGCCACCCGAAATGCAGAGACTTCAATCCACCTAAGTCCCTGACGGGCAATTGAGACGTGAGACTGTGAAGCCATCAATTATTCATTTACTTATCTCTATTTACAGTGCTGAGGAGCGAGACAACATCCGGGTGAGAGAGCTTCTGCAGATTGAGCTCGAAGGTGTCGGCCCAAAACGCAACAATGACATCTACAACCGTGAGAAGCGAGGGCTCCAGCGCCGCCAGTGGACTTTGCGAAAACAGGTGCAACGTGACGCCAATCTCAACAACTACGACAATCTTCGAGCTGAGATCGAGCTCATCGGAGAACAGAATCAGGTCTCCCTTGACAGGGAACGTCAGATTCGTACTGATATCCAACGTCTGCAAGGAGAACTTGCAATTGATAAACGTCGTCATGAACTGAAGCAAGAAATTGCTCAGTTGCGTGAGGAGGCTGCAGCGGAGGCCGCGCTTCGTCGAAACCTCCGGATCCAGAAAGAGGAGACCGATGCGAAAGCCAATGCCCTCCGCGCTACTTCTTTATCTGGTGTTCGGATACAGGGTTGTCGCAAGGATTCTAGACCAAGCAACCCAGACACGGCAGCGACTGATCGCAGCGGCATAGACTGTGAGTATTTGAACCATGTTTCTTGTTTGTGGCACTCAAGCTAGGATAGGTTCAACTACAACCGTCGAAAGTGTGCACGAAGACATGCCCAATGGATCATTGTTTGGTCTGTGGATGCATTGAGTGAGAGAAGGAGATCAATGCATCATCTTGTGAGGGAGAGAGCCGAAGAGCAGGGGGTGGCTGTGAGCTCACTCTCTCCTTCCACCCACCTGCCGGCGATCTCATCCTCGACAAATTCCCATTTCGGCGCTCTTATTACACACTCTTTAATGCTTCTATATGACTGACTATCACCCAGAACTCGACACTATCTGCAGAAATCTCTGTACACTACAGAATCCATCTCAAGCTCGAAATTTGGATGCTATTTGAGAGTGTCTCTGGGCCTACACCCCAATTCCATTCACAGAGCTGAGTAGTTCCCTCTCTTCTCACAGTTGGAGCTCGACATATCCACTGCTTGTTGACTCGATCCTGGCATTAGAACGACGCCATCTACATCCCCCAGCCTTCAGAACCCTCCCCTTTCCGCCCACTTTGAGCTGCCGACCCCCCCTGATCTTCCAGACAGTAATCCCAGTCCATTCCTTCGAATTCTGGCCGCCCATTCGCTACGAAATGCCCTGCCCCATACCCTGGAAGCTGCGAATGCCTCTTCGCTTTAGATGCACGCTTATTCGGGTTTCCCTCCCTCTCTCATTGGGCGCTCAAATCCTGCGATTTAATCGCACTTGGTGCGATATTATCGCATATTTTCGTTCTTTTGGGTTCCTGGCGTTGTCTAACAACGCTGCAGGGACGTTCTATGGTCTCAGCTCATTCTGGACCGTTGGTCTTGACCCAGCCGCTGGCCTGGGCCGCATAGCGTCAATAATTACTTCGAATTTAGTGAGTTGTAACTGTTGTGCATATTTTGCATGATCTCTGCTGCGCATCTCCAGTGTTTTTGCTTCTGTGCATATCATGCATGTTCCTGCCCTGCACTCTGTGCATTTTTAGACGGCGCATAGCCTGCGCTGCGCATATCCTGCGTTTTTACGGTGTGCATATCGTGCATATTTCGACTGCATATCGTGCATTTTCGACGGTGCATAGCCTGCACATTTTCCAGCATGCATATCGTGCATTTTTCGAGCGTGCATAGCCTGCACTTGCGCATAGCCTGCGCTGCGCATATCCTGCGTTTATACGGCGGGCATATCGTGCATGTTTCGACTGCATATCATGCATTTTCGATGGTGCATAGCCTGCACATTTTCCAGCATGCATATCGTGCATTGTTCGACTGTGCATAGCCTGCACTGCGCCTATCGTGCGCTGCGCATATTCTGCACCCTCCCTGTCGTGCATATCGTGCATTTCGCGACCGTGCATAGGCTGCACCTGCACATATCCTGCACTTGCGCATATTCTGCGCCTTTCCTGTGGTGCATATCATGCATCTTTTGACTGTGCATAGCCTGCACTTGCGCATATCGTGCGCTGCGCATATTCTGCGTATATTTTTGGGTGTGCATATCGTGCATTTTCCACTGTGCATAGCCTGCACTGCGCATATCATGCGCTGTGCATATTCTGCGTATTTTCTGGCGTGCATATCCTGCATTTTGAGTGTGCATAGGCTGCACCTGCGCATATCCTGCACCTGCGCATATTCTGCGCCTTTCCTGTGGTGCATATCATGCATCTTTCAACTGTGAATAGCCTGCACTCGCGCATATTGTGCGTCTGCATATTTTTGGGTGTGCATATCGTGCATTTTTCACTGTGCATAGCCTGCATTGCGCATATTCTGCGCTGCGCATCTTCTGCGCCTTTCCTTGGTGCCTATTGTGCATTTTCTTGACTGTGCATAGTCTGCACTTGCGCGTACTCTGCGTATTTTTCTACTGGGCAGACTGTGCATTTCTGATGGTGTATAGCCTGCACCTGCGCCTATCATGCGCTGGGCATATTCTGCACCTTTCCTTGGTGCATATCGTGCTTTTCTCGACTGTGCATAGCCTGCACTGCGCATATTGTGCGCTGCGCAAATTCTGCGTATTTCTGGGTGTGCATATCGTGCTTTTTTGACCGTGCATAGCCTGCACTTGCGCATATTGTGCGCTGCGCATATTCTGCGTCCTTTCTGGCGTGCATAGCGTGCCTTTTCGACTGTGCATAGCCTGCACTTGCGCCTATTGTGCGCTGGGCATATCCTGCACCTTTTCTTAGTGCATGTCGTGCATTTTCGACTGTGCATAGCCTGCACCGTGCATATCGTGTGCTGCGCATATTCTGCGTCCTTTCTGGCGTGCATATTGTGTATTGTGCACTGCGCATATCCTGCGTATTTTTGGGTGCGCATATTGTGCATGTTTTGAATGTGCATAGCTTGCACTTGCGCATATTGTGTGCTGCGCATATTCTGCATATTTTGGGCGTGCATATTGTGCATGTTGTGCATGTCGTGCAATTTTTGACTGTGCATAGCCTGCACTTGAGCATATTGTGCGCTGCAATTATTCTGCGTCCTTTCTGGCGTGCATATTGCGCACTCTTTGATCGTGCATGTTCTGCGTATCTTTTGGGCGTGCATATCGTGCATTTTGAGTGTGCATAGGCTGCGCATGCGCATATCATGTGCTGCGCATATTCTGCGTCTTTTCTGGCGTGCATATCGTGCATTCATCAACTGTGCATAGGCTGCACATGCACATATCATGTGCTGCGCGTATTCTGCGTCTTTTCTGGCGTGCATATCGTGCATTCTTCAACTGTGCATAGGCTGCACATGCGCATATCGTGCGCTGCGCATATTCTGCGTATTTTTTGGGGCATGCATATTGTGCATGTCGTGCACGTCGTGCAATTTTCGACTGTGCATAGCCTGCACTTGCGCATATTCTGCGCCTTTTCTACGAGCCATGGCACTAAGATTTAGGATAATGAACGATGGCCCTAGCCATAGGAAATCCATGATAACGTTTGGCTGTAGCCATGGCCGCTCCATGTGACATGGCCATCAATGCACGTGCCACAGAGCCCAAATAAGGAAATGACTTAAGCGTGAATTGAACGGTTGCCCTTCAAAAATCTCAAACGCATCTGATGCATAACCACTACACCATGCATCTGTTCAATCTCATGTCATTTTCCTCCATAGGTCGGGCACTTGAAATGCTTTGGGCACAAAGCCAGGTGAACTACCCTTACCACCTAACCTCCCAACCAAACCAAGCCTAACCAAACCAGAACCTATCTCTAACCCAAACTTAACCTTTGAAAATGACGATATATGTCCCTAATCCTTAGCGCTAACCCTAGACACGAACCCTAACCCAAACCCTAACCGGCTAACTAGCGGGCCGCAGAGGCGCCCGCCTGTGCCTGCCCATCACAGAAGTTCCTAGATTGTCAGCCGAGTCACGTGCTGTGGTGATTGCATCGAATATCTGTAGCCTAACACCATGGCCCCAGCCATGCCATGGCTACAGCCATACATTATCATGGATTTCCTATGGCTACAGGCATGAATTATGCTAAATCCTAGTACTATGGGTGTTTCTACTGGGCAATATCCTGCGTATTTTCAGTGGGCATATCGTGCATTTGATGGTGCATAGCCTACACCTGCGCATATCCTGCGTATTTTCGGCGTGCATATCATGCATTTTTGATGGTGCATAGCTCGCACATGCACCATTTGTGTGCTGCGCATGTCCTGCGCATTTTCTGGCACGCATATCGTGCATTTTGAGTGTGCATAGGCTGCACATGTGCATATCATGTGCTGCGCATATTCTGCGTCTTTTCTGGCGTGCATATCGTGCATTCTTCAACTGTGCATAGCCTGCACTTGCGCATACCTTGCGCTGCGCATATCCTGCATATTTCCGGCACGCATATTGTGCATTTCGACGGTGCATAGCCTACACCTGCGCATATCATGCATATTTCCTGTGGTGCATATCGTGCTTTTCAATAGCCTTCCCTTGCGCATATTGTGCACTGTTTTTCTCCTGTGCATATTCTGCTTTTGACAGTGCATAGCCTGCACTTGCGCATATCCTGTGTATTTTCTACTATGCATATCGTGCTTTTTTGGCAGTGGATAGTATGCACCTACGCCTATTTGTTGCCTGCACCCACGCATATTGTGCACTGTGCACATCCTGCACATTTTCTGGCATGCATAGCCTGCACCCACACAAATCGTGCGCCGTGCATAGCCTGCACATTTTCCTGTGTGCATATCATGCATAATTCGACTGCATTTCGTGCATTTTTGACAGTACATAGCCTGCACATGCGTATATTGTGTACTGGGCATAGCCTGCACATTTTCCGGCGTGCATATCGTGCATATTTTACTGACACACAAGTTGTGCTGCTTTCTTTGGGTGAGCCGGCGTTGTTCTGGCTGGGCAGCACGTTTTGGGGTCATCCGCACCCCGCCGGCTTTGCGCCCTGGGCTCAGCTCCCACACCCAATCACACTACTGTTGTGCAACACAGTATTTTATTTGATGAAATGTCTGGCCAGCAAAGGCTCAACTGAAGAAGATGGATGCATTGAGTGAGAGAAGGAGATCAATGCATCATCTTGTGAGGGAGAGAGCCGAAGAGCAGGGGGTGGCTGTGAGCTCACTCTCTCCTTCCACCCACCTGCCGGCGATCTCATCCTCGACAAATTCCCATTTCGGCGCTCACCCACCCACCCACAGCCTGTTTGATTTTTGATTGCTGTACAGCAGTAGAGCAGAGTCTGCGGGGTCATCCGCACCCCGCCGGCTTTGCGCCCTGGGCTCAGCTCCCACACCCAATCACACTACTGTTGTGCAACACAGTATTTTATTTGATGAAATGTCTGGCCAGCAAAGGCTCAACTGAAGAAGATGCTATTTAATCTCGTCTCTTTGGTCCAGGCATAAGTTGACCATATTATCAGATGGCGTGGACTGGGAGGTTCAAAACGATATTTACCAGCCTCCAGCACCTTGGACACCCCACATTTGTACCTCGAGAGGTACCTTTTTGAGGCCCAAAAAAGGTACCTCAGT